AGAGAGGTTGGAGAACAAAGAGATTAAATAACAGATTCTCATTGATCAAGGTTAGTTTTCTTATTATGCACCAAATGAAACTATAGTAGAAAATGCAAAGCCAGCCGAGAATGCACCTGAAAGAAAGGAAGTACAGTCTAGCACAGCTCCAAGGCAAAGTCATGAATCAAACCATGCTCTAGAAAATGAGTTTTCCCTAGGTAATCTCGTTTCTAATCCTGAACCTATTGATGACATTGACATTCCTATTGTATTAAGAAAACAGGTGATATCTTGCACTCAACACTCCATTGGGAATTATGTGTCCTATGAAAAATTGTCACAGGGGTATAGGTCGTTTGTGGTAGCTCTTGACAGCATACATATCCCAAGAAATGTTCAAGAGACACTCCAACAACCTGAATAGACAACAACTGTAACAGAAGAAGCTCAGGCCTTGGTTAAAACTGACACATGAAAATCACCACCCTACCAAAAGGGAAGAAATCGATTGGATGCAAGTGGATATTCTCCATCAAATACAATGCAAATGGTAGTATAAAGTGGTACAAAGCTCAACTGGTGGCAAAAGGGTTTACTCAATCATATCGAGTGGACTACGAAGAGACGTTTGCACCGGCGGCCAAACTCAATTTAATCCGAGTTATACCCTCTCTAGCTGCAAATTTAGATCGGTCACTTTATCAACTAGACATCAAGAATGTCTTCCTAAACGGTGAACTAGAAGAAGAAATCTATATGCAAATTCCTCCGGGACTTAAGTCATCAAAAACCTCAAATATGGTGTGTAGGCTTTCGAAAATTTTTATATGACCTTAAGCAATCTCCGATAGCATGGTTTGATAGATTGACTAGGGTTGTCAAAAAAGATGGATTCAACCAATGTCAATCAGATCACATGATGTTTGTCAAACACTCTGTAGAAGGGAAGGTAGTCATGTTCATTGTTTATGTTGATGATATCGTTATCATATGAGACAATTATGATCAAATCAAACATTTGAAGGGACTTTTAGTTAAGGAATTTGAAGTTAAGGACTTGGGTAAGCTCAAATACTTTTTAGGGATAGAAGTTGTCCGGACGAAGGATGGTATTTATGTATCACAAAAGAGATATACACTAGACTTACCTCAAGAAACTGACATGCTTGGGTGTAAAGCAGTCAATACTTCCATAGAACCGAAAAAGAGAAGTGAAGAGGAAAGTCCACTAGCTGATAAAGATAGATATCAAAGACTAGTTGGGAAGCTAATCTACCTAACTCAGACTAGGCCTAACATTGGGTTTGCTGTCAGCCTGGCTAGTTGCTATACATCTAATCCAACTGAGGCTAACATGAACATGACAAACAGAATACTCCAATACCTCAAAGGTACACCAAGGCGAGGGTTTTACTTCAAGAAGAAGTCAAAGATAGGCATTGAAGTCTATACTGACTCAAATTGGGCAGGATATCCCTTTGATAGAAAATCAACTACAGGCTACTGTTCCTTTGTATGGAGAAACTTGGTGACTTGGAGAAGCAAGAAGCAACCTGTGGTGGCAAGAAGTAGTGTAAAAGCTGAATTCAGAGTTATGACTTAAGGTATCTGTGAAGGAATCTAGCTTAAGAGGATATTAGATGAAATCGAAATTCCTATCAATTACATTATGAAGATAATGTGTGACAACAAAGTTGCTATAAGCATAGTAAAGAACCTAGTTCATCATAATAAGACAAAACATGTGAAAATTGACCGACATTTTATTAAAGAAAAAATTTATCATGGTATTATAAGTGTTGATCATGTTCCATCTTGTAGACAAACAACAGATATTCTGAAAAAGGCTCTTCCAAGGAATACATATGAAAACATTAGATCTAATCTGGGTATGATAAACATCTACCACTCAAATTGAGCGGGAGTATTGGAGATCAACACTATTAATTAGAATAATTCAATTATGATAGGATTTAATGATAATATAATCAGTTTTATTTTGTTATTTATGCATGATAGGATTTAATGATAATATAATCAGTTTTATTTTGTTATTTATGCATGTACAATATTTATAGGGAGAATATTTATCTGATTTTCAAGGATAAATTAGTGTATAGGTATATTACCTTTTATTCTATTTATACCTCATTTGTATCTTTTCCAAAATAAGAAATACACAACGTATTTTTCGCATAACTTTTCACCAAATTTCAATAACAACTAAAAGGAGTATTTAAAATTCTATTTTTACAACTCATTAAAATAATATTATTAATTTTTCTTATCCATCTTATCTTTGCATTCATGTATAGGTCGCATATGAACAAAAATTATATATATAAAAGAAGTCATATCATAATAATGACAACAATCAATAATATTCATAAAACAAAACAATTTCATAACCAATCAGCACATGATACTAAATTTGAACACAAATATATCAAACTCGAAAAATATATTAATATTCATAATTAATGTTTCTTTATCTAATACAACTTTGAGCTCTCTATAGAAATAAGGTACAATCTTATCACTTTCATAAAATTAAAGTAATACTTAAGGATAAATTAACAAAGGACAAACAAATACACAATAATAACAATAGACAAAAATAAAATACTCATCATAAACAAAACCAGAACCACCGCTCGGGAACCCGAGAAAGTGCAATCGCAGACAAAGAAACCAACTACACCTGATTTAGTTCCAGTATATGTGTTTACATCTTCTCTGTTATTTCCCATACTTTGAACCCACTCACTACGAGGTGTTGTCCCTTTACTTTTTGAACTCACTCTCCCTGCGAAATGCTGCCCCTTTGTGATTTGAACCCACTCTTTCAGATATTGCCCCTTTATGATTTGAATTCACTTTTTGCAAGATATTACTCGTTTGTGTTTGGCGTTTTGAAGCCACTCTCTACTATACGTACCTTCGACTTCTGTTCATTTAAACTTTTTTAATTTTCTTTGGAGTATCACTCCAACATAAAATAATTAATTAATTAAACATGACCAAATAAGCAAAGTCAACAAGTGCCTGATCAATCCGGTGTACGCTGAACATTACCCAGAAGTAAATAACATAAGTAAAGGATGAATACTTTTCAAAGACAACAACCGGATAATCATTTATCAAATTGAAATTGCATAATCCTATAAACTCAGTATCAGAAGCTGGAAAAGAAGAAAGATGTAAAGAAAAAGAATAAAAAGAAGAAATTGCATTAACACCTCACTAGATTTTCATAAATTTTAATTTGCTTTTTTATTTATTTATACGTAAAGGTTTATTTTAAAAACAATATATTGTTATCTTTTATATTAAACTTAAAAAAATATAATTTAGACCTTTAAGTCACTGTAATAGTATATATATATATATATATATATATATATATATATATATATAATTGGATAGCTTTTGAGAGAACATTATTCTTAAAAAATTATGTGGAATAATCATCGAATTGCAGAAAAGTTTTGTGCTGCCACCCTGCTGTAAAAGCAGAAGATTCATCAGGTATTTTTCTTACATGACATGTTACACGTTATTCATACAACAGTTCATATATTTAAACGCAGGGACATAGCTGATTCATAATTTATTACTTAGTTTCATATTTATTACCAAAAAAACAAATTTCTTCTCTATGTATTTAGTTGGTAGCAGGTTAAAATATTTATAATATGAATTATAAATTTATAATTCGTTCAAAGTTGTCTGGGTGGTGTAGTTGGTTATCACGCTAGTCTCACACACTAGAGGTCCCCGGTTCGAACCCGGGCTCAGACATTTTTTCTGATATTGTTTTTGAGCATGTAAATTTATTATGAATATCAACCATTACAAATCAGTTTTTAATTAGGAAGATTCAAATTAATTACTAATTGGATAAAGTTATTGCGTAGGCAGTGACGAAACAAATTGGTATTCCTAGTTGCACCTCTTATTGCTAATGTAAGCACGTGTTTTTTTCTCCATCAATTGCGCAATTAAAAAAAAAAAAAAGACTGAAAAATAGAGCATTTTATTGGAATGTAGGAAAACTGGATAAGTTCTACACCAGACAAATTCTCATTGATCACTCTCTCCATCATATATTAATATTAATCACGTTGATCCCAATCAATGTTTGACCCACATAAGTGGCACGTTCCTGTTCTGTTAATAACATATCATAGTATGCCCCCATAAACCCTTTGCTCACTCATTTCTTTTTGTCACAAGTTGCTAAAAGTGAAATTATTTTGTTCCAAAAGTTCACATTCAACTTCTTTCTCTTACCATGATTAATAGAAGACATTATTTTGCATGTCTTTATTGAGATTTTTTTAAAAGATGGGTGTGGACTACAGTAATATTTTATATAATTTATGTATAATAAAAAGGGTTCTGTAAAAAATAAACATAATTCAATGTAACCATTTATGAGTTAATAAAAATATGATTCAAAATATTGAATAACAGACCTAACATATATATAATTATTTTTTAAAATTAAAGCTCTATTTTAACCTTATCAAATACACAGCCTCCAGAGTTTAAGTCAAAGTCAACGGATAGAATTTTTAATTTTAAAAAACGTGTGTAGAGAGTAATTGGTGGCGAGCAACCTTTTAAAAAGCATTAAAAGAACAAATCGAAATTGAAAGCTGTGAAAACGTGGATCATACGCGGAGGCACGAAAAAGTTTGCTTTTTTTTCTGAGCCTCTGCGACTCCAACGTTGTTTCTCTCAGTATATATCCCTTTTGCCTCTATCAGCTCAAACTCACAAAAATCCACGATTTAATCATCGCTCATTAATTATCAATTAATCAATCCCTAATCCTAATCCTCATCCTTATCCATATCCTACCATCATTTATATATATATATATATATATATATATATATATATATATATATATATATATATATATATATATATATATAGTGCCTATAAAAGCCTCATCTTATCGTACGCTATACACCAATCCTAGCCCTAATCAAATCTCCTTCGCAGCACCAATGTCCACCGATCTCTCCATCATTCTCCCTCGCGTTCTCATTGTCTCTAGACGAAGCGTTCGCAAGAACAAGTTCGTTGATTTTGTCGGTATGTTTGTTATGTTTCCTCCTTTTTTTTTAATGTTTCTATCAAATCTACTTTAGTGCAATTGGGAGTTGTCAAAAAATGATTCTCATATGAATACCATTGTTGAAAATCCTGCATGTAATCATGTCGAATGATATCGTTTAATATGTATAGTCTGCACTGCCCGTGTTATTATTTTTCAATCATATGAGTGAAATTAACATGATCCTTTTTGATAAAATGTTTTATATTATTTTTCTTTTTCAGGTGAATATCACCTGGATCTTATAGTAGGGTATGGCGCAGTGCCCGTGATTGTTCCTCGTGTTTCTGGGGTGCACATGTTGTTGGATAGCTTTGAGCCAATCCATGGCGTGCTTCTGTGTGAAGGGGAAGACATTGATCCCTCTTGGTATGAAGAAGATACCTCGGGTCTTTCACAAGAGGAATTGGATGAGATTAGAAGGCTCCATGTGAGTGACACGGCCATTGATAAAGAGAAAGACTCGATCGAGTTGAGCCTCGCGAAGCTATGCCTCGAGAGGAACATTCCCTATCTGGGAATCTGCAGGGGCTCACAGATCCTTAATGTTGCATGTGGGGGTACCCTTTACCAGGATATAGGGAAAGAGCTTTCAGTTAAGTGCCCCGAGAGCAAAAGGGTGATGCACATAAACTACGACAATTATGATGGGCATAGGCACGATGTGGAAGTGGTGGAAGACACCCCTTTGCATCATTGGTTTAAGGATTCTTTGGAAGATGGAAAAATGGATATTTGCGTTAATAGCTATCACCATCAAGGGGTCAAGAGATTGGCACAACGTTTTGTGCCAATGGCCTTTGCACCCGATGGTTTGATTGAAGGGTTTTATGACCCAGATGCTTATAATCCAGAAGAGGGTAAGTTCATTATGGGATTGCAATTTCACCCTGAGCGTATGAGGAAGCCTGATTCGGATGAGTTTGATTACCCAGGATGCCCCTTTGCTTATAAGGTTTGAAAATATATGATTTTTTTAGATCTGTTTTAATGCTATCGATACACTGGCTGTTGCGTTAACATTTGTAAATTTCATGGAAACTCTGCAGGAATTTGTGAAGGCAGTTGTGGCTTATCAGAAGAAGTTGAACAACTTAACACCCATCCAAAAACCTATTAAGCTTAATAAGGAAATGGAAAATAAAAGGAAGAGTATAATGCGTAGTTTCTCACTTGCCAAAAACCTCTACAACGCTGGTCGTGGAATCAATTCCACCAAAGAATCCGAACTAGAAATTGGAGCACAATTTCTTGAGGTAATATAAACTTGCACAACTACGATAATTAAATTACTTTTCCTTCCATTTAGACTAAGAACAAAGTTTAGATGTACAGTTATCGAGTTAATTAGTGGTTTTTTTGTTGATTTTAAATAGAAATCTATATTACAGATGATTAAAGTAAAATTTGGTTGATAAATAACATCGAAAACACTTAAATAACCATAAAAAATTACTTCAAAAAGGACCAGGATAAGTAACAACAGAATAAGCTATTGTTATCATTCAAATAAGAGAGATATAAACACCTTATTAACAGTCATTTGTTTATATCTTTCTCACAGTCACATTGTACCTGTTATTCATTGCATTGACTAAGGTTTAAATTCATTTGCAGTCAAACACAGCATTGAATGTGCAGCAAGAGAATAGGTTAAAGCAAATGGGTGCAACAGTTAGGAATGCAGGGTCATACATAGAGAGACTGAAGATGAATGAGGCAAGAGAAAAGATGGCAAGAGGTGTGATGGGGAAGATGTCAGTGGAACAGTTGTCAGAGCTCTTGTCTTTCTATCACACTATGGGCCAAATTTGTTCAGAAGTATTGGATATAAAGATACATGGCCTTGTCAATCAATGATATCACACCATGATTTTCTTCCTTTTGTTAATTGACCATGCAACTCAACTCAACCAACGACGTTTCTTTCTTTGTTTGTTGCTAGTTGATTAGTCGGATGTGCTCCTTGATGGGACTCAACACGGTTGGCAGGGGAAATTAAAGCTTCTCTTTTCGTTCTTTTTGTTTGAGTCTGATGTCAAATTCCTTACAAACTGGATACGTCTAATATCAATCACCTCTGTGAAGAACAGACAGCGACTGACTTTTGGAAAATGTTTCGACAGGCAAATGTTATAACAGTATTAAGGAAATAAAAGTGACATTTTTTATTTAAAAAATTTATTATCTGCGTATTTTATTTTATTTTATTTTTTAATTTATCTTAGTGTAGTTTCCGATTAAAAAATATTATTATTTTCTTAACTAATATCCTAAGATTATCGTTTAGTAGAAGCTTAATGTCTCTTTCATGTATCAATTTATAATAAGGTTTTTGGTGACTTCTAATTACTAGGATACAATTATTATAAAAGATTTTTACAAATGTTAAAAAAAATGTTTTTTCACATCCTATTATACATGCTTTAACTTTATTAAGATTAGGTAATTTGAGTAATCTAACTTAATTCTATTTAATCCTATTTTCTATTGGATTTTAGGTAATGAATTTTGTATGTTTGATCTGAAACTCAAGTTAACTCAGCAACTAAAATTATTAAATAATATTAATATAATTATTTACTTTATTTAATTATTATATTAATTAAATATATATTTTAAAATATTAAATAATATAATTATTTTGAAAAAATTATCCAAAAAAAGTGTGCACCGCGGCATCATACCATCTAAGAGTTGACCTTTTATAAGCAAATTCTTACATTAAAATATTATAGGCTTCCTATGTTGTGCATGAGAGATTGCAACAGTTAATTTTATTATTGAATTTTAACCTATAAGATTTATTATTTTTAAAATCCAACAGCAGCATAAGAGCTAAGTTCTGGTTAAAAATTATCGATATCTAAAACAATAATAAAGTTATTCTTTAACTGTGTATAAAAATTGTTCAAGATTTCATATTAAAAAATATATTATTAAAACAAAAATTATATAAATTTGGTGTCCACATACCCTACACTACTACAACAATGACATTAATAACGGTTAAATTTAATTTATAAACTCGTTATTGATGGAGTCATATTTATATATCGTATAATACAATAATGTTTGTTATCATACACGTCGTTAAAGTCTTGCATTATGTCTACATATGACGACGGGTATCGTATTAATAATCGTTGTATATTGATTTTTTTTTTAATTAAGATTTGTTTTAGACATTTTCTCATTCCTCCTTATTTAAATATACAAAATCCAGTATAATACAAATTTCATACATATTTACACAAATACAAAATCATAAATATATACAAATCCTACAAAGTCATTATAAATCCTATAAGTATAATTAGTAAATTATCCTAAATGTATAAGACTAATCAACCAATTATCCTGATGTTCAACCATATATACAGTCACGAAACTAAGTTATTGTAATGAATTAATCGTGTTGAAGAAATATGTTACTCATGTGCGTCTAATATATATAATGTATGACATATGTATCAATGAGAGATGTATCCATAAAAATCTGCAATATCATAAATTATTTTTTATAAGTATAATTATGGTACCTAATCATCTTTAAATAAATATTAATTGTCTTACCTGATCTCAATCTCTATTTATTTGTGTTTGGATATTGATTGTTATCCATTGTATTACATAATAATGACACACATATCCTCTAGATTGTCTATCACATTGTTTCTCAAAATATAGAAATTAAATTAGTTTGTTAGTAACATAAATAAACAAAAATAAATACCATATACTATACCTTTAGATCCAACAATGTGAGCTTTTGTGGTCTTCCACTTATTGCTCATCCACAATAAACACTAATAACAATTACACTTAACTAAAACATATATAAATTTCCATTTGTAACATGGGTTCCACAAGTAAATTTGGGCTCTAGAAAAAGAGTGAAGCTTGACTGGATAAATTTGGACATTTATTTCCATTAATTTGACTCATCTCAAATTACCTATCCTAAAAAAGAATAAAAGGAAATATGCATTGTGGATGTGTGGATGTATGTATGTATATTATTTATTATGTTAACATTATGCGAAATGCATAAATTAAAAAAATGAATTATGATATATTTTTTATGAGAACATGTTAATGTATGGTTTATGAAAAAAATAATTAGCTTAGAAAATACTCTTAGATAAAAAAATAAAGAGTAAAATGACATATATTAATATGACAAACAATTATCAATGATGACTATACATTGAAACATATTGAAGTTAGTTAAAATTGAAATTGATTAAAGATAAACTAACAATAAAATTTACTTAATCATAAACATATAGTGCACAATAAATAATTTATCTCTTTAAAAGACTATTTGTGATGACTTTTTATTACCTGGTGGTTGAATGAGTTGAGAATCTAAAAATCAATACACTTCATCTTTCTCCTCACTCACATAACTCGGGATAGATACATATAACCAGTCACATAATAATTAATATTTCAATAACTAAAATACTAAGAACTTTAAATTAAATAATTTAGATCATCCACAATTGCATAATGAATATGTTAATATAATCTTATCAACACCTTGTTATAATCTCTAACACATCAGACATGTGTAAATATAATGGGATATCACTCTCCCTTCTAAAACTGGTAGAATCCCATGGCACCTCAATTGGATTGCTACTGATGGCCCTCATAACATCCAACAATGAAGAAAAAGGGTCACTAATACTATATTGTTGTTTCTTTTTCTCATCTAATCGGTGTCGTGACTGCACATAAATAACATTAATATTATAAACGACATAATAAATAGGAATTAAACATATGATTATTATTGGCATATCATGCTATTTGATATAGAACTAGCTAGATGTCTAGTCCAGATAATGAAAGTTTGAAGTACTTGTGCTACAGTAGTAACCTTATCTGTTAGCACGAGCACAATAGCACTACTATCATGAACTTTATTAACCATGACCTTAACCAAATGAGCAAGAAGAGGTACTCTATGTAACATAGTGACCCCTTTCAAACATCTTCTCATATGCTATCAAGGGGGGAATCAGTATCTTCAAAAATATTGGGACTCAACACAAATTCATTCAAAAATATTTCATATCACTATCAATCATCACAATATTAATCATAAATTAATCCATACATTAATCAAGATAGAAAAGTTACTTACTAGAGAGGAACAATTGTGTCACGGACAACCACCAATGTTCACCACCACAAGAGAGAGCATGATTAGCAAGAAGGAGATACGTGGAACAGGTGCAGGGTGTGACGCGGAGGAGATGCGGAGGTGCATGACACACCTTAGAGAGAGAAAACTACTCAAAATACAAGGAGGAGGACAAAGGAGGAAGTAGGAGACAAGGAAGGAAAGAAGAGACGACGAAAATGAACGAGGAAGGTGCGCAAAAATAAGTACGGAAAAGATATATATGATGACAGTTATTACAAATAACCGTCATTGTATAAGATATACGAAAATAGCTTACCTCATTCTACATTTAATTACGATTCTTAAATAATTATCAAATATCCTATACCACAATAATTATTAAATAATTATTATTATATAATTATTTTTATTTTAAAATATGATCATGGCATCTTCAACAATATCTTTATAATAATAATGATGGTCATCAAAAGACAACGTCATTTTCAATATCTAGTGCCACTACTAAATGTTATTAGTAAATAAAATCTTTTATAATTGTGTTTGCATTATCTCATCTAGGTGATTTATTCTTCGGAGTGATTCTTTTTACTCGGTTCAGTTATTTTTCATTTTCTTTTTTTAAACAGACTTTTTATTTTAACTTGTTGTAACAATATATCTAACCAGTTCTATGTTTTAATGAAAATTTCACGTATTATAATAGAAAAATGGTTTGCAATAAATTATAGATAATAAACTAGACGTCAATAACTTTTAGATCATGTAAAAAACACACTTGAAGGTAAAAGAAAAAAAAAAAATAATAATAATGAATAAAATAAAGTCAGGTGTTTGAGTGTGGAGGTTAAGTCATAAAATAAATCCAAAAAAAAAAATGATCCAATGTTTAATGGACCCACAAACTTTTCCTTGGCGGAACACGCAGAGTCTTTTAGATCAGAGCCAAGGTGGGCTCTTGGTCTTTTGCTGGATTATTTAGGAAAAATAGGTGCTAGTTATTGGGAATGGGGCATAAACAAAAGAAGAAAAATAGCATAGAATTCATAGTTGGTGGACTCAGTCACCATATATAAATTGATATATATATTGTGATAATGAAATTAAGTAGCAGTAAAATTGAAATTATAGCCATCCCCATACTAAAATATGGATTCAGGAAAACTATTACAAGTTATTTTAATTTTTATAGATTTCACAAGTTAACTTAACCATTCAAACTTTTCCACAAGTCACATTCCTGCGTAACTTTGAAAGCAATTTCTATATCTTAAATAATATTTCTTCCTTTTGAGTCACATTCTGTCGTTCAAATGTTTCCAAACCCAAGGTTTACATTGTTGTAACCATTTTGTTTCCGCTCTCCCACCAATGCCTTCCCTTCTTCAACACTTGATTATCTTCCTCGTACTGATTAAGATACCTTCATGTTTAAGCTCCAACGATGATTATATGAATTGCGCTAATTTCATAACTTGTGGGAGCATAAACATCAGTTTTCCATTCTGGGGCGAAAACCGGCCAAAGGAGTGTGGCCACCCTCTGATGGAACTCAGCTGCAAAAATGCAATCAGCTACATAACCATTAAGGGTGTCACGTACCGGGTTTTGGACGCCAACCCAGATAGCCATACTCTGACAATCACTAGAGTGGATTTCTTGCTAGACTTATGCCAGCCAAATTATGTCAGCACCAACCTTGACTATGAGCTCTACGTTCATGAGTCACTCTATAAGAATCTTACCCTTTTCTATGGTTGTACTTTTCCAAGTTCTTTCCATGCCACCAATATTAGTTGTAATAATGAACGGGGGGAAAATGTTTATTCTCAGTTTGGTTCACTCCCGCCTCGTCCTCCTATGTCTTGCCATGCAAGTGTGGTTGTTCCAGTTCCTCCATCTTTGACGGAGAATAATATCGATTTCATCAAAGTACACGCGGCAATCAGAGATGGGTTTGTGGTGAGATGGATAGTAGGTATTGAAGATTGTGGGAACTGTGAAAGATTAGGTGGAGTATGCGGTATTGATTGGTCTTCACTGCAAACAACCTGTTACTGCAAAAATGGAACTTGTTCTAATTTCTCACCAGATGTCAAAGCATCTCCAGGTACGTCTAAGCTGGTTGAAAATTAATTTTTCTGTTTCGGGTTTGATGAGGACTAAGTTAAATTTTAGACCAACTGATAACGTTAACACATGTCACTTAATTTGTCTTGATTCATCCTTTTGAAGTTTGAACCGACGGTTAATTGGTTGATTTAGTTCCAGTATAATCCCCCAACTATCATGCGGGTCAAAGTATAGTTTGGTGTTATTCCTTGTCCCTTAGTCCTAGGTACGTAGCTCTGAAGTCTTCAACTGATGACAATTTCATTTGGATATTGTTGAGAAATGATAGGAAATAGGGAGGAGAGAGAAGGAGTGGGAAAATATATAGTATCTTTCTTTCTCTGATCAAGCATGAAAAATGAATTATCTCCCACTAATTCTGTCTTTGATTATTACTATTCTATTTCTAATAGTATAATGGATACATTTTCTCAAAGTCTGAAAGGGCCATTATAGTTATGAAGATAACTTTGATAATTCGTATCTTTTTTTTTAAAGTATGCATCTTCACTAATTATGGTAGTTAGAAGATTGCAGTTTATGACTTGTGTTGTGTTTGGAAGATTTAAGATTGTATTGGACGAATTAAAAAAATAAATTTGTAGATTTTTTTTTCACTTAATGTTTTTTATTTATTATAATAGATATAAACGAATATGGGAACAAGTAATATAATATTATAATATCTCTTCAAATTCTACAGATTCTTATCCATAATTATACCAATATATATTTTGTTTTTTAATCTCACCATGTTTCAAGTGGAAATATGATCTATCTCCAGTCAAAATAAATTATCTAGACTTGAAATGTACAACTCCTCCTTCACTGTATGAATTGAAACATTGTTTATATTTTTTTTCAGCGTCTAAGGCTATAGTTTTGGTTTTAGCCAGTCAAGTTGAAAAACAATTTTTTAGTAAAATTAATTACTTTTGTCAAAGAAAGTGTAGTCAATAAGATGATTGCATCACTGTTTGCGCGTATAAAATTTGTATTAGTCAAGTTCAAGATTTTCTTTTTCATTTTTTTCATCATACTTACATCTTTTATTTTATTTTAAAATATTTTCTTTAATTATTTGGTCATCAACATATTTTCCTTTAATGCTATCCCACTTGTCATGGTTTTGGTTTATTTACTTTAATTTCACCCATTTTATTAAATTTAAATATATATTTTTCACCACATATTTTATATTGTTATGTTTTTAAAGTATATCAAACATAAAAAATGAAGTTCTTATATTCCTCGTTGTCCTCTTTTAATGCATTTATATGTATAAAAATTATTCAACGGCATTACTTGGGGACTGTGCATAAGCATTTATTATAAGAGTGATGTTGACCAAATATAAATGTTACAAATGATGTTATTTTTCTTATATTTTATGTACAGAATAAATCATAAAATTGACTTTTAGGAATTTCTGTTCTGATCTCATCTTGAATTGACCCTGTCTATAACTAGCTTTTCCAACCCATCTTTTATTTGGTTGATTTGAATGTGATTAACAAAACTACAGTTGTCAGATAAAATATATAAACCATAACAACTTTAAGTGATTAAAAATATGAAACAAATATTAAGATTTATTATTAAAGCTAGAAAAACAATGAAGTTTTCGCGTACAGTGTGGTTTGAAATTCTTGAGTGCAGTCTACTCTTCTGGAAGCAGGCTTTGGGAAGTTTGAAATGAGACAAAAACACGGAACATAAAATAGAGTGTGTATGCAATGTAACAACATTCTTCGCTTAGGTTTCTTACAAAATCAAGGATTGAAAAATTTGCACATCGAAAGTGAAACGTGAAATGTTAAGAGTTCCCACTATAATAATCTACGCGATACTTTACTGATTCAATCCTCATCTCCCGTTTGCTCTCCCTGCACCTCCTACATCTTTTTTCGTCCTGCAACAATGAAACCTCTGCTAATTCTTCACCCTCCTTTCATCTTCATTTTGTTGCTCATCTCAACCAATACTCCAACATGTCTCTGTGAGGATGATGTTCAGTACAGGAACTGTAGTAACGCTTTTATATGCGGTAGTAGCAACCTGGACCTCAAGTATCCCTTCTGGGGAGTAAACAGAGATAAGTACTGTGGTGAAGAGAAGCTCACATGCGAAGGAGGAGTCCCCAAGATAACCATGAATGACATCAAATACCGTATCCTTGATTGGGATAATACAACACAGATAGTAACAGTCGCCAGGGATGATTATTGGGGTGATATATGTTTGAGTGATCCCAAGAACAACACGTTTGACAGAACTCAGTTTCAATATGATCACGATGATGAGCTTGTTAACGTGACGCTGTTTTATTGCCCTTCGGATACACCTCCAATAACAACGGATTTTTTTGGTCCAACGAAGTGTGGTGATAATAAATTTGTCTTCTACACTCACCTTCCAGTAAATTCGTACACGGGGAATTGCCCGATTGTGGTGATTCCGATATTTGAATCCAACGCTTCACTTGTACATGACAATAAAATAAGCGTAGCGTTACAGAATGGTTTTGAGTTGAATTGGGTGGGAAATTACGAGGAGTGCAAGAAATGTAGTGATTCTGGTGGAGCGTGTGGGTTTAACGATGGAGATGGAGAGTTCCAATGTTTCTGCAAGGATGGATCTGCTTCATGCACAGGTATGTCTCTATTCCCATTTCTAGTTTAGTTGGTAAACAATAAACACACAACAAATGAGGAAAGCCATGAGAAAAGGGTCCAATATTTGATCCTAACATTTCTTTATTTATCACCCAAACAAGGAATGAGAGAATAACACTTTATATGGAACAAAGCTGGGGTGATGGGTATTTTACTCCAGATCATTTGGCATGTCAATGGTGCCGATTAAACGATGTTGATTCTTCCCCAAACCACCGCAGCATTGGAAGAAACTGGGTCAGCAATTGCTTACTTGCTTGCAAACAAAGGGAATGATAATGTTTGACTTTTGGGATATATATACAACAAATCAAACTCCTGACAAGTTCTCCTGTTGACCATTTCACAAGTAGTTTTTCATGCTCATCTGATTTTTTATAGGGTATGAATAGTTACATCAGGTTATGATAGATGTTGGGTCTAGGCTGATATGAATGAAAATCTGGTGTTACCAAACATTTATAAGAGAGAGGATGTTATTAGTATTATTATTAATATCAATCTTGGAAAACAGGTGATATAAATAGATATGATGGGAATTTTTTAATTTATTCTTGGATTAAACGTGTCAAGCCTTTTGATTTTTAAAGTATTCATGATGAACGAGTAAGCTAGAGTTGTTTATAGTAGTTAGGCATTAAGTTTGGTGATAACTAGCCTTAGTGGTTAGACACAGCACCAACCCATAAACTTTCTTTAAAGTTTTATGAGGGTTAGGTAATGCCAATTTGACAATTTTTAACCTAAATTTACATTTGCATCAATAGAACTAATGCACTTCAACACTCACCAAGCACATGTTTAACCTCAGTTCTAATCTCCCTCCTCTCTATTTATATATTTCAGTGTCAAATCCTCTGTCTCACTTCTCAACCAAACTCTTTTTTTCCCTCAAGAAGATGCAACTTCTTCATGGCACCTTTTTCTCAATTTTGGTCATAACCATCACCCTAAACCAAATTCCAACATCTTGTGCTGGTGATGTGCATTATTCGAAATGCAGTTCTCCATTTCATTGTGCAAATCTCAAAAACCTGAGTTATCCTTTCTGGGGATTTACTAGACCCCCATATTGTGGGCACCCTGCGTTTAACCTACAATGCACAGGTGAAGTAGCAACGCTTACCTTTATGTCAGAGAGTTATAGAGTTCTTGAAGTCAATAACTCGGATCATAGACTCAAACTTGTAAGAACTGAATACTGGAACAACATCTGTCCAACTAGCCTCAGGAACATCGATATAGGTTGCACTTTCTTTGATTATGGTTCAGATTCTCAGAACCTGACTCTCTACTATGATTGTCCTTCATTTCCTCAATCAGATAGCTTTTCCCCTCGCTTTAACTGTAGTATAAATGGAACGCAAATGATTAACTATTTTGTGATAGAGAGCATGCTTGAATATGCTGAGTCAAGTGAAATACTGGGAACATGCAAATCTAGAGTAGTTGTTCCGATTTTTGAGTCAGAAGCTGAAGTCCTACGAACAAACTCAACAGTTGAAAATCTTAAGGCCGTTCTTGATAATGGATTTGGCGTGGAGTGGAATGCAAACAATAGTTTGTGTGATGAATGCCAAAACTCAGGTGGGCATTGTGGTTATAACCCAAGCTCAAGTGAATTTGCTTGCTATTGCAGGGATGGATCTTTTCCATCCACATGTAAAAATTCAGGTGAGTAACGGTAACCTAGATTTGTAAACACCTTAAGTTTTCTTGTCATTCATTGCGTGCCTTTAGAGAAGTGTTTCTGTAGAGTCACAGAAGCCTTTTAAGAACTTAACCTCCATCATCGTACGAAATATTTGCTTACATATTTATATCTCAATTTTCTGCTATTGATGGGGAAAGTGAGAAAGATCTCCCCTGTTGCTAATAGGATCAACAATAAGAATATTAATGGCATAGTTTTGTTGGAACATCTGGATAAGAATGCTTCTTCTAGCTGCAAAACATCATTCTTTTGATTTTCACCTTCTTTTTTATCTTGTCAATGACTTCCTTGCAACATCATTGCATCACCTTTCTTTGAAAATATTGCAGATAGAATGGTAGATATTAGGTAAGAGTAAGTAGCATTCAACGGCTAGTGTTCACACATTCATCTCCTTTTAACATATCGTCGCCTTCTTTGACTACAATTAGACTTATCTTCCATTTTATGGGGTCCAGTAACTCTGTTATACCTTGTCTGCTCAATAATGTATTTCCGTCTAGAAAACTAGCTAGATGTAAGTCTGCTTAAATTTCTTGAGTCGTCATTTTAAGTTCAAATCTAGGGACAATTGGCCTGATTTGGAGTTGTAGATAGTACTTGGATTTAGACCCAACACCCCCAGGATTAAACAGAAACCAAGTTCCAAATTTTTGCAGTTATTTATGAAATATCTACGAATAATCATGGCTGACTTTATATCTGTATTTATGTTAGCTAATGGAAAATATCTACAAATCCCCTTTTCTGAGTTCAAACCTCAAATTATCAAATGTGACAATATGTCACCTCTTAGTGTTGTAGAAGGGGAAAAGCCTGAGTCTGTCTGACTGAGAATTGGAGGATTTAAAAACAAAACACTTTTCCAGTAGCCAGAAAAAATGTTAGGCTGCATACATGCATATTAGGGTGGTAAAGAAGGTTGAAGTCGCTTATCAAAACCTGTTGTCCATAGAAATATTTCTTGCTAATGTAATAATGGTTTAAGAAATAAGTGATTTATGGGTGGGAACTGACATGCTTGAAAAATACGAGACAGATGAAAATCTTGACTAATCCAGAGGAGATCACGGCTGAAATGGTCATGCAGCTCCTGTTTCCTTTCTTCATATCCCCCTGTTATCTCTTCTCTATCCTCTTTGACATCTCTCCTGAAGCTCCCTCCGTGAAAATTTGAGTAACCACACGCTTCTTAATCCATTTTCTGCGACTTAAACATTGCGATTGAAGACAAATACATAAATATATTTTTGAAGGTCTCACATGTTCAAATCCTGCACCTAAACTCGCCGCCATGCAATTAAATATATGTTTTCTGACATCATGTTATTAGATGCCACCGCATGCGTTTCATATCCTTAACTAATAATATTGTAACATCGATTGAGACCTTTCAGTCATAATTCTAGATTTTGAACAGCCACCATTTCAAGTTCAACCATACTATACGAGTATTAGGTGTGTCTTGACTATTAATCAACACCCCCTCAATATTATATACGCATCCTTCACGACCTTCCCAACAATGTAATTTCAAGTTCCACTATCCAATTATTTTAAAGTGTACAAAACATGAAAAGGAAATTTAACATTGTTGATTTATTCGGCTGCTATTGCTAAAGCCAAGAACTCTCAGATTATAATTTTATTTTCCAAACCTTGTCAAAGTCCTAGTCAAATAATTCATCTTCATGTTTTTTTCTTTTCTATTCATCTCACTTCGTTTAAGGTTCAAAGCATAGAACCATAGTTCATAGGACTGCCACCACGAACGAACATCAAACTATGTTGTCCCTGTCCTCCGCCACCACCACCATCGTAGCCATCACCTTCATCCTCTCCCTCCACCATACGACGTCGTTGCCACCCCATGCACCACTCTCCACCTGCCGCGTCACCTCCTTCAACTGCGGCACCATCACCAACCTCTCCTACCCTTTCACCGGCGGCGACCACCCCTCCTTCTGTGGGCCACCACAGTTCCATTTGAACTGCCAAAACGGTGTCGTCCCCGTTTTGAACATCTCATCACTGAGCTACCGAGTCATTAGTATCAACTCGGTGGCTCACACCCTCACCTTAGCGAGATTAGACCTTTGGAATGAGACATGCACGAATGTCTACGTGAACTCAACTTTTGATGGGCCCATCTTCAGCTACGGTTCGGGGAACCAAAACCTAACTTTGTTCTATGAGTGCAAACCCACTTCAGTGTTCACGGAAACGCCAGAAAATTTGTTTCACTGCGAGAGTAAAGGGGATATGAATGAGTCTTATTCTTTGGTAGGTCCGTTACCTTCGGACCCTATTCTTGGAGTTGTGGAATGCGTTGAACATATTGCGGTGCCAATTCTTAAAGAGCAGGCTGATAGGCTGGTGGAAAACCGGTCTTTACTTGGGGAGATTCTGATGAAGGGGTTTAATGTGAACTATAAGAATCCTTATGACAATGTATGCGTTGAATGTGTTGGTTCTGGTGGCCAGTGTGGGTTTGATTCTGATGAGAACGAACCTATTTGTATTTGTGGGGATCAGTTGTGTCCCACTCCAGGTATTCCAGCTTTTCTTTTTGTTAATTCTCTCTTTAATCCCTATTTCTTTGCACCTTTTTCTTCACTTTTCTCTGCCTCTCTCTTGATTCCTTTTCATCACCTATATCCAGCGTGTTTGGTTCCACATCAAACACACATCTCAGAATGTGATGTTTTAAAAAGCTAATAGTTACATAGTATATTTGATTTGGTAGTAGAAACTATGAGTGGATTGATACCAGTGGATTGAGAAGTGACTAGTGATAATCATTTAAGGACAATTTATGTGTATTGTGTGACTAAAACGGAAGAGGCCCTGGTGTAGACTGATGCCAGTGGCTGCCATTTTGTTTGGAAATTCTCCTAATTTTGCACGCCAAGCAAATCAGGGTTTGATCAAATTAGTTGATGTTCCAGTGTTGCAGACTTGCAGTGTGGAATTGCTACATGGTTTTAAGGCTTTTTCACTTGTTATTTTATCCTAATTTTAGGCAATCAAGATCAAAGTGGAGTTGGTTAGATGACTTGTGCAGTCGTGCCCGAATCATCTCCAGGAATAGACCACTTCCCTACAACGATAATAGTGAGCTGAAGCTCTTAATTCACCATTTCTTATCTCATTTATTGCCTTTAGAAAAAATGACCATGTGCTTTAACTTAATTTAATTTATTGTACATGAGAACCATATATACAGAGTAGAGAGCTCCTCCATCTTTCATTCTCACTTTCTGTTTTCTCCATTTCTTCTAGAGAGAAAGGATGCCAACTCATAGTTTCGTATCTATTTTCCTTTTACAAGAAATTAACCGCATAACATATTACGTACATGAAGTTCTGTTCGAACAGTTATACTTTTGTAGCTGTTCTTGCTTGTGGTATAAGCATATAGGTCTTATTTTTGCTAATGTTTTTGGAGCATACGTTTTCACGTTAGTTATGGTCCATACATAGACCACCATCTTTCTTTTTTGTGCCAATCTAGTTTCAATCTAAACAACAGTTAAATGGTTATCACCAGTCACTTTTCGTACAACTTAATTTGCATTTATAATTACAAGAGTCCACTGTTCACCCAATCGGTGAATTGATAATATGAGGCTTTATTAGCGTCCTGTCTTGACTACCTTTCCTTTTCATTCCTCTTCTATTCTTCTCTGATTCCTTGTTTTGACATCTTATTGGTTTGGAATATTTCAGGTAAAAGCAACAAAGTAGGTTTAATAATAGGTAACGCTCAGTTCGTCAATTTTTTTATATATACTTAAATTCTTTCATTTTGTTAATAGAATTTTACTAATGTCTGCTATTGGTATTTTTGTCAGGCATTTGTGTAGGAGGAGTTGCAGTCCTCGTTGTCATTCTAGGATGTGTGTACTTTATGATTCAAAGAAGAAGAAAAATTGCCTATGAATCAAGAAGCATGGAACTCTTCATAGCCCCTACTTCAAGCGCAGACACTTTTGCATCTACAACTAATACGTCTCAAAGTCTATCTTCTTACCAATCTTCCAAGTCTGACCCAGTGCCCAGGAGTTACTACTTTGGTGTCCAGGTCTTCACCTACGAGGAACTGGAGGAAGCTACAAAAAACTTTGACACTTCTAGAGAACTTGGTGAGGGAGGTTTTGGCACCGTTTACAAAGGTAACAAGATAACTTCATGTCCACGGTGCACAGATACAAAACATCTATCATACACCATATGTATCTTGTAGAATGATATAATTATTCTAAAGATATATAGGATATGATATCTGGAAAAATACATATCTAGGTTTCTGCCAATTGCTCACACATTTTATACCAGGTGGATTTGTTTCTTTCTTGAATAATCTTCTATTTGTTAATCAGGTGAACTCAAAGATGGACGTATAGTTGCAGTGAAACGTCATTATGAAAGCAACTCTAGACGTATTATGCAGTTCATGAATGAAGTTCAGATTCTAGCCGGCTTAAGGCACAAGAACCTTGTGACACTCTTTGGATGCACCTCTAAACATAGCAGAGAACTTCTCCTTGTTTATGAATTCATACCTAATGGAACAGTTGCTTATCATCTTCAAGGAAGAAGCTCAGAATCAACTTTACTCCCATGGTCTATAAGATTGAACATTGCTGTTGAAACAGCAGAGGCTCTAGCCTACCTACATGCAAAGGGTGTCATACACCGCGATGTTAAAACCAACAACCTTCTCCTGGATGATCAATTTCGAGTAAAGGTTGCCGATTTTGGTCTCTCAAGGGATTTCCCAAACCATGTCACGCATGTGTCAACAGCTCCACAGGGAACACCTGGTTATGTTGACCCTGAGTATTATCAGTGCTACCAACTCACTGATAAAAGTGATGTTTACAGCTTTGGAGTGGTTTTGGTTGAGCTCATATCATCATTGCAAGCTGTGGACATCAACAGGAATCGCAGTGATGTAAACTTGTCAAACATGGCTGTCAATAAAATTCAAAACCAGGAACTGCATGAGTTGGTTGATCCTTATCTTGGGTTTGAGTGGGATCATGCTGTAAGGAGGATGACGACAGCAGTGGCAGAATTGGCCTTTAGGTGTTTACAACAGGAAAGAGAGATGAGACCATCCATGAATGAGGTTGTGGAAATCTTAAGAGGAATCAAGAGTGATGGGCATGGTACACGGGAAGAGACAGATGTATTGGATATTAGGACTGATGAAATTATACTTTTGAAGAAGGCTCATTCCCCGGTTTCACCAGATTCAGTTGTTAACAAATGGGTTAGCGGCTCCTCTGTATCTAATTCCTCATAGCTTCTAAGCTTTCCTTTTTTCTTGGTGAAGATCTAGATTAGATAGTGAAACTACTGCACTAGGGTCAAATGTCAGTGAGCTAGTTTAGAACTCATAGCATTCACATATATTTTCTCCAGAAGCTTTTGATTTGAACTTTTATTTGGGGCTTGTATGTTATGATCATGATAATGGTTATGTCATGAGAAGGTGAATTCACTGTTGATTAAAAAAATGTAATATGCATAGGGGAGAGAGAAATTATATATATATATATATATATATATATATATATATATATATATTCTCATACGTTTGAAAAGAGTTGTGTTATTCATATAACAGTTTATAGCATTTTATACAATGTTCTGTATCCACCTCTTTTTATTGCATTATTTATTTCGATCTCATTTTTTCTTTAGTTTGTCTTGGTTGTATACGGTGTGATAGGAACATGGTACGTAACTGTTTAAACTTCCTGTTCTATAATTAAAGTTAGTGATACTGAATAGGAACATGGCAATTACTGAATTTCCCTTATCTTAATCAAGAAGAATGGTTTAACCTCTGCACGGGTATAGAGTTCTTAATCAATACTGAGACACATCAGAACTAGATGGTTAGAGTCCATACAATGGTACAATTGAAGCAATTGTGATTGTGGACTAATTACCTTCAGTCAGGGCGAGAGGAAGCAGAATCTGTGAGTACTGTCTGTTGGATTTGGATTTACTCGCGTTGTTCCATCATGTTGTCTCACGTTATCGTGCAGAGACAAAGACGCAATAATTAGTTCTATATGCACTACTCTCCACAAATAATATATAGCATGTGTTACATACTGTAATTAGTTTGTGTCTTGTATCATTCCAGAGAGAAAACATGAGGGCCTTTATGTTCTCTCCCTGAGAAAAATAACAACAAAAACGGATATTAACAAATAATTGTGATTATATATATTCTCTTTTATATATTCTGCTTTTTTTTTTGTTATTTAGTAGAGTTCAATGGGTTATTACATTATTAATAATTTTCACATTATCTGAATAATAATAATAATAATAAAATGTAAAAAGTTTGTAAAAAAATGTGTAATTAGTGTTTTTTTCTCCTTAAAAAAAAATACAATAAGACTGGTATCTCTAAGTAATCAAAGTGAATGTTAAGAATGACTTTCAATTTCAGTATCAAATTTGAGACTTAAAGGTTTTAATTTAAATACATTACCTACGTAGTTTCAAAAGGAAACTTCATATCTGGTGTTTTTAAAAAAAATGTATTTAATGAGAGAACAAAAAATAAAATTTAAATTTGTTTACCTCCATTCTTATCCCTGAAACAGAAACAGGTAGGAGTAGAGGGGAAATATGAAAAAATAAATAAATGAGAGTACAAAGCATCTCCCGAAGCAGACAAGTGAAAAGAACTAACAAACAGCGATATCGAAAGAGACAACAATAAATACGAAATGTTAAAAAAAAAAAAATTAGAACGGTTTACACATGCTTAAATAATAATTGAATATAAAAATTAAAAATTAAAAATTTAACAATAGCTTTAAATAATTTATCTACTCCATAAACTTTGAAATTTAGTTATTGAATAATGCGTTTGCAAACAGATTTGACCCGTCTTATAAATAACATCTTTTTAACTTTAAATGAAATTTGTTATGTCACGTTACTTTTAAATAATTTATACTAAGTTTTTATACATTTTGATTTAATAGATAATTTTTTAAGCATTAATAGTTTTATAATTTTTTACTTCACAGTTAAAAAATGATTTAATTATTATAACTAAATATTAGTTTAATATAATATTTCAATTTAAAGATAAATTTATAATAGGTTCTAATTTTTTATAAAGATTGATTTTTTTTAAATCTTTATAAACTAATTTTGTTAAACAAAATTCTAAGATCAAAATTAAACCTAAATTAATTTTATAAAAATTATACAATATTTCAATAAATATTATATATTATTATAATAAGATTGTTGTTATTATGTAAACAAAATAAAAATAAAAATATTTTTATTTTTCTTATTTTTTAAATAAACATGATTCGAAAGATTAGTTGTGTTCATAAAAGAGTGGAGTTTTGGGGCATGAAGATGAAAATATACGATGAAATATTATTACAAGTTTTTGCTGTGGTGAGTGAATCATTGGACGTGGACTGGACCACTGAGTACTTCATAAATCAATTCCAGTTTGGTCCACTGCTTTACTTCACACTTCATCGCAACCTAGCGCCGTTAGGTGTTTTATAGGGGTTAAGTGTCCATGGGTCATTTGGGGACTAACAGCGGCTCAAAATTCATTGTGTCCAAAATCTTCTACAAAACATTATGATTATTATTGATATTTATAATTATGAAAAAATGTTTTTACTTGAAATTTATAATTATGAACAAATATTTTTAGTTGAAAAGGTGATATAATTATATTAAAGTAAATAATATTAAAGAAATATTATTAAAAATTCAAGTAAGTTGCTCGTCATAAAAAATTAAATAATTTATAAATAACAAAAATTAATATTTTAAAAATTTAAGTTGAAAATAAAATTATATTTTTTTTATATAATTAGGTCATATTTCACTATATTATTAATTTTTTAAAAATATCTAATATATAACACAACACTCTTTCAACTCCTATGTAATAATGATAGTCTTATAAAAACTTTAATGAATTATATAAATTTTAAAAAATAATAATACTTTCACATAAAATATGTAACCTAACATAGCATAGGTGCAAGCATGCATAAAATTGATTTGGTTCAAGACATGACTCTTATTATTAGAGTGATTATTTTCTTGGAAGGTTACAGCAAAAAAAAGGTATAATTTCAACCTAAGTAACCAAATCAGCCATAGCTTCTTCTACTGAAATTGGTGACTCCATGTCAAACTTGTACTTGAATCAATTGGACTTTTGCAACTATTTTCAATGCATTAATTGATTCATGCCCATATTTATTGGGAGGTTGAATCTTCTAACTCTTCCTTGATCCAATAGTTGTCATAAAATATGAGAGATATTGAATGAGAAAGACATTTCACAACTTCTTAAATTCATCTTGTCACTTTAGTGTTAATTATATAAAAATAATGTTTTTTTATTTATTAAAAAAATGTGTTTTGAAGAATGTAAATGTCCCTTCTGAGAAAAGAAGAGTAAATGTACATCTTTTTATTTGGATCAGATAGGTTCAAATCATGAATTTGCATCAATTCAAGTATTATCTTTGGCAGGTGAAATATAAACTTACATTATTTTATATTTTATCGCACATTGAGTATTTCTATACTTTTATTCTATATAACTATTTTATATTTTTGTTTTTCTAATTATTCATCAGATTTGTTTTTTCATTTTATTATATAAAAAATAATTTTCTCTATTTTTTTATTTTATTCTTAATATAATTATTAAATAAATATATATATATATATATATATATATATTCCATTTATGCTCCATAAAATCTCGTACACTCCATTTCCAGAACGTCCTTTCATCTTATCCCAAAACCTTTTATCTACAAATAATTAGTATATATATATATATATATATATATATAATACTTTATTTGATTTTAAATTGAGTTAAATATTATTTGTTTAGACAAAAAAAAATCCTTTAACTAAAAACTAATTCTTCCTTAAAAATAGAAATTACATACTGTAAAATTAAGTTATTCTTTCCGTGTAATTCCTAAAATGAAATCCCTCGTGAGATTATTAACATACTCGAATAATGTTTAATCTTTTAAAATGGCATATGCCATTGTTTGCGAACATATTTAAACGATTTTGAATTGGACTTGGAAAAAATGAAAAAAAGAAAAAAAAAAGAAGAAGTTGAATAGTAATAAAAAAGAGCATCATAAAAAGGAGGGGAAAGAAAAATAAAAATAGCATAGCCTAGGAGTATTGTGAAGTGCTCGAATTTGGGGCGAAGAAAGAAAAAGGAAGCTTTTATATTCCCCGATAAAGCCCTCTTCCCTTCCCTTTCCTTTCTCAATCCAATCAATCACTCTCTCCTCTCTCTCTCTATCTCTTCTCTCAGATCTCACTCTCTCTTTCTCTCTCTCTCTCTCCTCACTTCTCAATGCACAAATTCAAGTTTCTCGCCACCCAATGCGCCGTCGCCGGCAGCCCCACCCGCAGCCCCACCACCAGCCCCGTCATCCACCTTCGCCGCCGAAAGACCCTCCGCATGTTCCTCGCCCGCCGCCGCTTTCACCCCCCGGCCCAAGATCCTCCACCCCTCCCGGACTCCTCCGAGGCCCGCGTCCGCCACAAGCTCAAGGACCTCTTCGTCTCCTCACCGCCGCCACCCCTCAACGACGACAAAACAATTTTCCATCAACAACAACAACAGCGGCAACGAAAAGAAGAAGAAGATCAGCGCGACGAACTCATCCCTAGCCCCAGCGTCGGCCTCCGCCTCCGTACCGGATCTCCCTTCCGGCGCTCCGCCGCCGCTCTCCGCCCGGTATCCTCCGTCTTCCGCTACCGGTTGCTGAGAAGAGCGTGGCGGCCGGTGCTTGTCACCATCCCTGAATAGTAACACTCATACTTTCTCTCCACTGTGTCATAACTGTACGGATTAATTCAATTCCCCAATTTTATTATTTTATTTATTTATTCCATTCTTTTCAATTTTTCCACAAATAATATAATATTATAATTTTCAGAATATAAAAATAACATTATATAAGTATGTTATTAGCTAACATGCGCCGAGTGCGTTTCCGATAAGAAATAAATGTAACTAACTCTTTATCCGTTGCCGCGTTAGCGGAACGGTCATGATGCGACGTCGTATTTCGATTTCGTACTTTTCAATGAATATTTATTTATTCTACGCCAATTGAATTGGAAATTGTTAACGAAAAGTTTGGTTATTTGTTAATACCATTCACATATTACACATTGTAAAGTTATTATTTATCCATTTGACATGATTTGTAAACAAGTTTATAATATGGAAATTACGGCACTTAATTTTGTGTTTATTAGAATGGAACCAACTACAGGAAGAGGGATGAGAGATAAGTGGTTGTGAGAAAAGGAGTGTGATACTTTCCTACAACTCTGTCTTTATTCGCAGTTTCCCATGTGTTTCTGCTCAGAGGGGATTCTTATTATCGACGTTGTTCTGTTTTTGTCCTGTCCCACTGGATCCAAAGACGTTTTGTTTTGTTGTCACATTATTATAAAAAATAATGATATTTTCCAAATCTGGCAAAATATTAATGTTTGTTTTATTTTTTTAATGAAATACATCTCTTGTTTTGTTTAGAATGCTTAAAAGGGTAGTGATAATAATACATTAAGTAGTATCAAGTCGTGACCCAACTAAACTATGGAAGGATAATGGACATTCCTTTGTACTTGTGTATGCTTTTATACTCTTGATAAGGTAGGCCCTGTGTACGTGTGTTGATTCAATGCGTAACGTGTGTACTGTAACAGGTGTACTTTTTTTTAACTTTAATTATCAGGTTCTTAAATAATGATGTTGAGCACAATGTGGGGAAGTAATGATTCTAGCTAGAGATTTGAGATCTAAGAAGTATTAAGGGCTTAAGGTGCCTTTATCCTTGTCTTCATATTTATAATTGGTGGCTCATCTTTTGTCGTTGTTGCATAGGGACTAGAGACCCAATGAAAATGACAATCTTATACACCCTCAGAGTTTTGTATTTGTTCAAACCTTCAAGTGGTTATCTTGGTGTTTCAAAGACCAATTCTTCAGCCATTTTGTTTGTATTATCTTTTTTCAAGTCACCTAAAATGGCTGCATTTTGTGCTCCCTAATATCCCTTAATACACTTTAGGGGATGTCAGATAATTTTAAACATCATAAAGAAGATCAAATACAAGAAGGGGAGAAAGATACTTAGTTAGGGTGTAATCATTTTTTTGTCTTGCATTGCATAATAAAGACATAAAAATCTTTTCCCTTATCGTAGCTAACCCAATATGAAAAGGATATTAATGAGTTGGCTTCAAGTGGTTAGTAATCTTGCCAAGCTAAAAATGAAAAACTCAAAAAGATAAATTACTCATAAGTAATTGAGTTACTAAAGCTAGCTAAAGGTGGACAGAAATTAGAAAGTGAGTAATTATTTGTGGATAATTTATATATAATTGATTAGAGTGTTGGTAGTTGTTGGTTCTCCTATTTACAGAAAGTGATGTGTGTAAATTGGCTTATTGCTTTGCCTTGAAGTTTACTGGTGGTTTCAAATTCTTTTGGATATGTTAGGAGGAATCCCTCTCTCTCCCTTCTCCACAAGCTTATCACAGCAAAAGCAAATGACAACCAAACCAAAATTTCTGCAGCTAAATACGTTTGACTCAATCGTTTCTTTCCTAACAAATTTTGAGTTTTAAGTTTTTCTCTGATATAGTAGTTTGATCAAGAGCACGAGGAAAAAAGAAAATAACACCATATAAGATTATTTTTCATTGAAAAAAAAAAAGAACTCTTAAAATGTTTCTGGTTACATTTTGGAATAGGCAGCTGGGATTTTCCACGATACATTTCATACAAGGTAGCATGTGTTATATTTGGCTATAACTAGTGGTGTAGTCATGTCATGATGCACTTTATACCTTGAGTCAAATATATAACTTTGGAGTCAGAAAATGTGATCTAAGATGAAAGCAACTCTTAACGGAAAGCAAATGGTCATCACATGGAATGCTAATACTTTTGCTTTGTAGGGATGGATTGGAGGACATGCCTATTTTTTTCAAATTAACTATCGTATTCTATGGAAACATATATATTTGAAACGAAACTTAATCAATGTAATTCGAATGTATAGGTATCACTAAACAGAGGAATTGAAGGTAGAACCATGTTTCACTATTCATATTCCACTTTAGTTGAATGAATCTCTTTCTTTCTTTGTGGTTGTTACAACTCATAATTATTTAACCTAATGCTTTGACCAAACACATCACATTTCAAGAATACCTGTGACTGTCTTATTCATTCCTTCTTAGTTTCGCCACCACCTATGACCTATGCTTGTTACCAAAGTTTTTTTTTTTCTCCTTTTTTGCACTTTCTGTATAAGCAAGACAACATACTTTGAAGAATAGAGCTACTTCCATAAAATTTATCCGAAACTGTTTGCAAAGTTAGACAAATTAAAGATAAGAAATTAATGGATTATTACTATTATCATTAATTAGTCTTTTAGTTCTATATTTTTATTTAACTTCTTTTTGCTTTGATTCTTTAGACCTTTTTAGTTTTAATCTCATAATCTAATTTTATCTTTTCAACAACTTTGTCTCCCTTATCATCTGGTCACTGAAAAGAGGAACTTGTTGGATGATATAAAGTTCATTACATATTGTTAAATTAAAACTAACAAAAAATGGATAAAGGGATACTTTTAAGATTAAACAATGGTAATTGAGGAAATTATGAAAAACTTATTTAGAAACTTGAGTTATTTAAAAATAATTGCAAATATTTATAATTGGATAAAATGACACTATGTGAATAGAAAACAATCTTATATACGGGTGACGATTATGTAAATCAATACATTAAATGTGTTTCAGTATCAATTCTAATTAAAATGATTTTGTGAAAGTATTGATGTGATTAACAAGGTTTTCTATGATAAAATATTTTTAATCATAAAAATATACATCATAAAAATATAAAAAATTGTATGACTAAATAATGAATTAATTTCAAACATTATAGTTTTAATAGGAAAATACAAAAATGTAGTCCTTATTTAACTTTACATTCTTCATCATATATTTTACTTTACACATTTAAGCTATTAAATATTTTTTAGGGCATGTTTGAGTAGGAGTATTTTTTTTTCAGGGTATAAAAAGGAGCTTTTTGAAGGGTAAGAATTGTTCTAACTAGGTTCTTTAAGTTTACAAGACATATTCTTTTAATTTGGTTTATTGTGTATTATCAGAAAAAAATTGTTGAATGTTAAAAAAAAAATCGAAGTGAAAAATTAATAATTTATTATATATAACAATAAAATATTTACTATATTAAAATACCAAAAATTTATTAAATTTTAAGCGATTAAAACTTCTATATTTTATCATGTAATTAAAGCATATCGAACAGTCGTTAACCAAAATCATTAAAGTACTTATTTGTTAGAAAAAAAAAACTATTTTCCAAAAAAAAAAAAAACTACATAAATCGTGATCATTTCTAACTTCTTTCTAAACAATAAGAAAGCCCACAAAAATAGACCTCGGGTTGTGGCCTCTATCCAGCAGGCCCAAGTCCATAAAGGTCAAGTTAGACAAGAAGTCTGCATGGCTACTTACATGCCCTCATGGGGCATTTCTTCCTTCGTCTATAAAATTCTAACCCTCTCTTTTCTTTTTTATTTCGAAATCATAAATGTAAATTTTATAGTCTAAGGTTTGCAAAATCTGAACTGCTTCTGGAGAAAGAACTTCTGATGCTGGTTTTGTGTTATGAAAAATTCAGATACTAATGGTGTGATTTTTGTCACAATCCTCTTGTTTAGCTTCATCTGCTTTCTGATCTTATTAGACTTGTGTGTTTGCTTCCTCTCTGTTTCAGTGCAGCAGAATGTAGCAGATATTTGGTGGGTATATCTATTCCAAAGTTCTGCAACATTTAATTTATTCTCTTAATAACTCAAATCTAAATGCATCCATGAATAACAACAAGATATAAAATTGGTAAATGTATTTTAATTAACTTATGGACATCATTATCATTATGTTTTAGTCATTTTATAGATTATGAATGAATATATGAATCGATATTTAACATTGATATAAAAAGTGTTCAATAATCTTTAATTTAAACTAATATTAATATTAATATGAAATACTGATCCCAATTTCATATTGAAAATAAATAACACTTATAAAATATAATTTAATCTAAAATAATGCAATATTGATCTTGATTTTCAATTATTTTAACATTCATGTTTCTGTAAAAGTATATAGAAACTCCAATATAACATGCTATTTTGTCATTTTCTGCAGACAAATTAACCAAAGTAGTTCTTCGACATATGAGTTTTGAATCATTGCTCAATCGAATGGTACACTTTTACAAAAAATTACGATGTTTTATACAAGGCATGTCCATAATAATAATAATGTGTCCTTCATCTCAAGCAGCTTCTTAGTTGTATTCCAGAGGTAGTAGTCAAGTCTCTCTGTTGTCTGCTCTAAATGTTATAGAACATTTCACGGTCGGATGTTCAACCTTGTACAAGTGTTTTTGAGCTTCTACATGAAAGCTATGCCTCTTCAAAGGATTCAGCTTCAAAACCTAGAGAAAGTTAACAGAAGTTGAACTTGGTTGTTGAAAAACGCTGCATTCTCATTAAGTGAACATTTGATTTCTGCAGAAAGTACAAAAATAAATTGAATTCCACAGTCTACCATGCTCAAACTTCCAGGATTTACATTTGTGCATGTGATTTCCTCCATGCCGAATTGTTGATGCAATGACTTCAAGATCAGTACAACGGAAAAGGTGCTGCTTTGGTTCTCTGGAAAGGAAGTTCACATATAACAAGGGAGAGTTTGGACAACTGAACTCCAATGAAAAATTTTCACAACACTCCAGTGGAAAGGTTACTTGCAAAAATATGCTTACTAATGCTTGTTGAATTTCTCATGTCACATCCACCATCAATAAGCAGGCAACTTGAGAGAAGTTGCAGCATGATATATCAGATATGTTTTAGACATGTATGCATTAATTTTCAGATTCTCTCAGCTCAATTTCCTTTCTCTGCTGCAGGTCTGCCTAAAGTGCAAAAATAATCCCAGTTATACAGCACGACAAATAAAGTCTAATTTATGGTCAAATGAAAAAAACACTAAGAAATATTTGTTATTTGTTAATATTGTAGACATGAATGCCATTTTCAAGCATAGATTGTTGGTATTTACCAGTTGCAGCTTTAACTCGGAGATTTTCTGCTCTTTCTGACGAGCAAAAAACTTAAGCGACTGAAACAATATTAAGAATCAGTCTTGAATGGAAAATGAAGCTTAATCAATGGAAAATGCAAGTAAAGGAATTGGATATGAAATTCCCAAAAGAACTAGGAGAATAATGGATGCAAAAGAAATCAATCACTTACTCCCATTCTTTGCATTTCAAGAGATCTACGCAAAGCTTCTTTTTTAGTTAGAAGATTTTTTGCTAACTTCATTGAAGGTCGACTATAGTTTTTTCCACGGTATATAATAATAGCATGGCCCTTTTTCAGTTTATCAACTGAAACTAAAATTCCACCACTTTCTGCCTCCAGCAATTTTGCTGTGTTGATGACCTGACTGAATAGTTTTTGCATAGTAATGACCTTCACCACTTCTCTGTGTTTCCAATGCTGATGTAGGCCTTCCATTACACCTTCAAAGATTCCACGTCTTCCTGCATTCATTTATCAATGTAAATTCATTTATCACAAGAATGGGGAGAGTCTGTAAATGTGTATATCCAATTGAAATTGTAGAAAGGTAACTTCTGTACCAAGCAGTAAGCTACTCTGCATCTTCAATCCTATCTTTCGAAAACATTCTCTCTCTTCATCTGTCATTATTTCCAAATCAGAATCCTGCTCACTAGGTGTCCATGCAGCATTTAACTTTGATAATTCCTTCCCTGATTTCTCTATTTTTTTGTTAAGCTGCATAATCCATACAATTAATTAAAGAATATCAGGATATGACAAATGCAAATGGAAAACTTCAATTAACTACATCTTACAATGAATGCTCTGCGTTGTTCCTCTTTCAATTCCTTCTCCAGTCTACATATCTCTGCTTCCAGTTGAATGTTTAAGTCTATGTTTCCATTTTTTGTATCCTCGAACTTCCTTTGGATTTTCATAAATTCTGTTAAAGTTCCACTTGTACTCGTGTCTTGTGGCACTTCATCAATAGGAGAAAAGGCTTCAATTGCTTTCATTCGTGCAACTTCTTCATGAAGTTGGCAACTTTTAATCTCCAATTCTCTGTTTTCTACCAAAGCTGCAACTCTTTTTGGAAGGAAATCATTTCCCCTATAGAGTACTATGTAAAACTTGTTGCGCAACAACAAAACTCCTCCTGTGAGACACTGCATTAAATACATTAAATATTTAGACCTGTTTCTGGATACATAAACAAACCAGTACAAGAACTAATACAAAAGAGCAGCCCAAGCGGCCAACTCCACCAGTATTGCATGACTATTAGACATAGAGCATATATGCAAGCTAATCTGGAAAATATTGTCGGTGCAACAAGTGATTTTAATAGGCATGGTGAAGTCTCATTCTAAATTTAATAATTATAGGCCCTGCCATTTTACACATCCATTCTTGTATCAGGCTACATTTCAAGTGAGGACAACAAAAGTGACTAGTTCTTCCCCAAAAAGTGAGTCAGGACAATCATTTAACAATCTCCATCTCAACATAGCATGAAAAAGTCCAGCTCAGATACATATATTATTGATGAAACTACACCTAAGGTTTAGTATGCCTTGGATTGCATCTCATATACATGGGACAGTTAAATTTCTATCAAACTTGCCTTCAGTTCATTGGCCATCATTTCATTGTCAGTGTTAGGAATCCCATACTTGATAGCAATTTTCGCTATAAGACTCTTCTCCCACAACTTTAAGATAGCAGCAGCTAAGCCCTTGAGTCTTTTGTTCTTTCCTTCATAAAAAAGAGACAAAAATATTTAATTAACATCATGCATAAAACTTGTACGATATAGCTTAGCTTGGAAATTGTTTATTGAAGCTAATATTAATGTACAACTGATTAATTAATATTTTCTTTATTGAAGTTATTGATTAGATTCATCATTCTTGAAGAAATTACTTCTTGATAGGGATACTGCTTGACCATGTATATGTAGTGGATAAATATTGCATCAAGAACTCAGCCCCATTCAGGTATGCTATTGCTTTCTAAATTGATACCATTGAGGTTTCAAGATTAAGACATAAGAACTGTCACCAATTGAGGCAAATGACACTGAATTGTATATGTAGTTATTTCTAAAACTCACAGCTAACAGACACTTGGCATTGAGTCCCTTTTCTCCATGTATAAAAGTCATAAAAACAAAAATGGATGCTCATGCTTGTAAAGATGTGTTCATGTCTTATGCAAACAAAATATGTTGTTGACAATAACTTACCTATAAGCTAATATATAGAAAATCATGTTTATCCAATTATATTACAATTCATTAAAAGTTGTTCAATTATGGATAGGCAAAATACTCTGTTAGCCATAACATTCATTACTAAATGAGATAAAATGTTATGAAGATTGCTAGCAACACACTCTTTGTAAGACTTTTATTAGTTGAAGTTTATTGAAAACTATGACATCATGCGTAAGACTTATTATTTAATGTGAAACTTACAAGATATTGTGATTTTCAATAAATTTCAGCCAATAATGAAGAGTGTCAGAAAGTGTGTTGCTAGCATTTCCCATAATGATATAAAGAGCTGAAGAATAAAGATATCTCTAGATAACGATCATAATAATAATAAAAAAATGGCCAAACGGTAAAAACTGAAACCAAAGAAAATAAACATAAAATTATATTTTTTTGTTTAATGTCGCAAGAAGCAGGAGGGTACCGAGGACAAAGTGAGTTGGTAAAGGTCGAGCAAGCTTCCTGAAGTATGTTAATTCATAATCAGTTAGTTTAGCACTAGCATGAGGTGGACAGAGCCTTAATGGAGGCTGAAATCCAGGAACTTCTTCAGGAAGTAAGTCAGCATCTACTGGAAGTGGCTTGTGCATCCACCAATCAGTGAAGCGAGGTCCTAAGTCATCCAACAATCTATCAGTTTCCCTCTCATACAATGAACCATCGGCCGTTTGAAAATTCATATCTTGGATACTAGTTGATATAGAATCCTTATTCTTAGCATTCAAACTCAGCAGCTCACTCAAATTGTGGTTGGATCCAACCGAGCAAATATCACCTTTGGTAACTGATTCCGCCCCATTCATTTCGTGTAGATTTTTTCGTAGACTGGGAGAACCTTTAGTTGTCAACTGATGATTGCATCCTCGGTAAACCACAAGAAAATCCTTCTTTCCCCAAACAACCAAGCCTCCAGTCTTTGTCTATTTAAATGGGAAATGAACACTAATGTAGCCATACGATAACATGAAATATATGTAAAACATAACAGAAATACGTATAACATATCAGAACAGCTTGATTAATACTAGATCATTGAGACAACTAATTCATACATAGCAGCATATCTGCATTATATAGCAGTAAAAACACACTCAATATCAGATATTCATAATTAGTCAAAGTCAAACCAGCTTATATCAACTTTCAACATTGAACACCTATAAGCATACATGCAAATTTGAATCCTTATCTTAGCTCTAAACGTTGGAAATTCTTTCAAAACAAGACAAATGCTTAACTAGCCAAAACACACTGCACAAAGTAATTGCATCAACAAATACAACTAGATTGTCAACATGCAAAAGATAACTACACACACAGCACAACGTGACCTTATATAACCCATCTTTCAGTCATATGCAGGTACAACACACCAAAAATGTAACATAATGTCTTCAGTAGTGTAATGATGACAAGCAGTTGAACAAAATTCTACTCGATGAATAGGAATAAAGCAAGACCTCAACAATTTCTCGAGCTCTATTCATATTCCTGCATAAAGGGATATCAAATTTAACCATGGCAAGCTCATTCTTCCTCCAAGTCCGTTTAATTTGATCCACAACATCTTGTGTAACACCAGCTTTCTTAACTTTGATCCACGTTCTCATCCTTGCAGCTTCATCCCTCAACCTTCGAAGTAGTAACTTATCAAGAGTCAACTCTGCAGCAGTGACAGCCTTTTTTCTTTTAATTTTCACTAAAACAAACTTCTCATCGCTCTCCCATGGCATTCTCTCCTTAGTTCTTCTAACTTCCTCCATTTCCTTTAAACTTTCCAAAACCCCTCCAAAGTTTTCAACATTGGGGGAACCAATTAGAGTCTCAGCTGAATTCTGGGTGTTGCGAAGCTTGTCAACCTTCTCCACGATTTTTTTCATGGCCTTCCTCCCCCTGGCCTCTTTGCCCATCAAAGCTTTGTCAGAAAGTTCTTGTTTTTCCACCTTGAACTTCTTGGATTTGGAGTTGGAGTGGCCAACGAGCTCGTGGGGTTGGAGAAGAAGAGGACCCTTCATCCATGGAGGAGTGGGAGCTTTGATTGGAACTTGAGAAGGGGACTGGTGATTGTGACTGTTGTTGGAATTTGGGAGATTCGAAGAGGAAATGTGAATGTGAGAAAATGAATATGAATTTGGAGAGAAACGAGGATGAAGAGAAAGAAAGAGCATGATTGCTGCTATCCAGAGACACCATACGAATGGTTGATTAAGCTTTACGTTCATTCTTGTTTTTTTTTTCTTTTATATTTCTCAATCGCTTTCCTTTTAATAACCATAATTTCATTCTCAAAAAAGTTACTTTCTCTCTTAAATAGTTTTCAAAATAAACAAATTATATAAATAATCTTTCAAATATTAAATATTATGCTAAAAAATAAATTGAAGTCAGCGATATATTGATATATTTTAATTCAAATTTAAATTAAAAATATTAATATATTTTAATTTGAAAATGTGTCACTCAAATTAAAATTATTTAAGTTTTATGTAAGAAAAAAAAGGTTCAGTAAATCAATTTTAAAAATAATTTTCTTTCTATATTAAATTAGCTTTTTATAATCATAATTAACATTTTGAAAAACAATTTTTTTATTTTTTTTATAAATTATTATGAAAATGAGACACCAAAACATAGATTAAAAAGAATGAACATTGATTTAAATGTGCTACTTAACCAAGTTATACAGGGCATGAGTAGTTCTACCAACACTATAACTAAAAAAATATATAAAGATAAAAGTAAACTAAAATAATTTAAATTATTGGAGAAAATAAATTATGTAACAGTGATTAAAAGAATTTGAAAATTAGTCATCTTAATTTCTTGTGTTTGTTCTTTTCTGCTCCAAACTCGACAAGTGATGCAATGCAATTCCACTGCCACACAACGGGTAGAGATTGGCTACATTTCACATGGATATGATTCAAAGTAAAGCCCAAATTTTTTATACAAAAACAATAAAGCCCAAAACTTTTATCAAAACCCAGAAAGTAAAGCCTAACCTTTTAAAAAAATATATATATATGAAGTAAAGCCCAATCTTGTGATATCGTTAAGAAAGGGTATGATATTATCCCAAGTAGAAAACCTTCTGAATCAAAGAATATGTTACCTTTACCAAAAATTAGTGAAAATTAAACCTCTTTCGTACCAAATAGTCCATTTTAACCCCTCTTCATTTATACCTTAGACTTTCGATTAACTCTTTTTTTTTTATTACCTTATTTAAGTAAACATACTTGATTTTTCATATTTCTCACATTATATATTCATTCGCATATTTATTTTAATTTACATTTTTTTTACTTTAATTACAGTTTTAAATTTTTACGATATTAAAATTGTACAATCCTAATTTTTAAGATTTCAATCATGTCATTTGAATCTTCACATATTGTAAATAAATAATTTTAATGTATTAAATTATAGGTGTGTGAATTCAATTATTTAAGTACTATTGTGCGATTCGACAACTTATAACTAAAACAACTATTAAACTATATGAGAATTGAAATTTACACATTTATAATAGAGATCCAATTGGCTTAATGAAAAGTTAAAAAGACTGAGAATATTTGTGGACAAAAACTAACGATAAAGTTATTTGTTTTGTTACATGGATTAGGAAATCGAAAAAGCAGGTAAGAAAAAGGTTGTTTGTGGTAGAGGGAGATACGTGTGAGAATTGTAGGCGTCTTGTTCGTAAACATGGAAGAAAGAGTGCAATGAATGGGTTAAGATAGGATTTGATATTTTTGTTTTTGAAAAATGGGTGAGTGAGTTAAAGAAGGAGAAGAAATATGAAGAAAATGATGATTATGATAATCACGTGAGTGTGAAAGTGGGGAAGGAGGAGGAGCTAAAACCAAGCAAGCAGTTAGTAAAGGCGTAAAAAGCTGCGACCAATGAAACATCGCAAACGTTAACTGCCAACAAATGTTAACTACTTTTTATGTGTTCGATAATTGCAATTGGGACTCTTCATAGGAGGCTTTATTGGGTGAATGGGTTCTGACATTTTGTTTCATGCGAATGTGTGTTGTGAGTGTGCATAAAAAAATGGTAGAAGAAGGTGTGTGTGTGAGAGATGAGATGAGAAAGTGGTGGAGGTGGTGGTGCTGACATGTTTGGTAGCAGCACGAGTCATGTCCAGGCTTATAATGCGTATGCTTTGTCACGTCAAGGCTTATCAGTTATCATCTGCATGTGGTCGATGTTCAATGCTTTTCTTTTCATCTCTCATCCATCTTCGTAACACCATAATCTTCATCGGTTTCTTTCCACGTTTACCACAACAAAGCCGAAAGCAAATCAACACGACATAAAAAGCAACGTTAATTCCATCTACTTGTTTTTGCCTTCTCATTTCCCACTCCCTCTCTGCCACGTGCATCCTCGGATTCTCCTCTTCCAAATGTCTTGTTATATTTCTTAAATACAAAATCATTTTATTCAAAACCATGTTAATTAATGGAAGATGCACAAAGTTCACGGTCAAGAAAACCCATCATAAATTTCCTTCTTTTTCTTGTTGACATTTCTATTATTAGAATATAAAAACCCTTCTTTCCAAAGCTACACACCTTCGATACATTGGTAAATAATGTATTGTCTTGTCACAGTTTTTTTTAGGGTTTTTCTTTTCATAAGATACGTCTTTTTATAATTATTTTTGGTTTTATTTTTCAATAAGAAAATTTTATATTGTATTAAATTAAAATAATTTCATTATTCTTCATTCCAAAATAATATCTACCAACACGGAATGATTCACAAGTAGATATAGTTATTATCTAGTATTATATTTCTCTACACAATATTTTTTAACTATACTTAAAAAATTGTTAATTTTTCAAAAAAAAAAAGAGTTTTTAAAATTTTATAATCAAAATGAAATATAATTTATAACATCATTCTTTAATGCACGGAAGCGCTTCTTAAAAACAAATATATAGATTTAAATAGTGTTTAGCCTCCATTTGGTACCCTTTTTTTCAACATATATATGATACTTGCTAAAATGTTATTTCTAACCAAAACAGATTAATTACCAAGATTAAGAAGACAAGTATATATTTTTGCTTAATAGATAAGGTTGTTACTAAGAAGATAAATTCTAGAAGAAATTATTTAGTATAGTGTTGGAGAAAGCAACAACTTGTTATTCGGAAAATATTAGGTACCATGATAAATTACTTTATTGTTGTTTGTTTTAAATGATTTCATGAAATAATTTGTTGTAGTAAAGCAAAAGCATAAATTGTTTAATGATATCATGTAAGAGTGAGTTACCCCATTGAAATTGACTTAAGTAAAAGTAAAGCGAATAGAATATTTAAGAATAATGTAAGAAAGGGAAAAGCAAAATATCTCGCCATGATGAAGGGAAGTGGAAGCTAAACAAAAGTGAGCAAATAATTGTTTGGCAGGACTGGAAATAGGCAAACAAATGAGAACGCCCTAAGAACGAAGCCAATCTATTTATTAGCCGCGGTAGGAACGTTAGTTTGTCGCTTTTACTTTGGATTTTGGACTAATTTTAGCGTTTGACACAACGAAGCTCTTTGTTTGGCGCATCATGGTCCTCGCAAACTTTAACGTCTGGTCATGTCCCCTGGTTGGTGTACCACCTTCGCCTTTAATTTGCAACATACTCATTTAGTCAACTACTAACAAACACAACATTAATTCTCATTACCATGCCTCAAAACCCCTTACGCTTCTCACAATCACCATTTAACCTCTTTTACAGAAATCTTACCAAATAATCAGTAACACACTTAACTTATTGTGAGATTCATTGATGCCTGCTAAACACCACTGTTAGATATAATGAGAGAAAACTACGTGCCCTTTCATAATAATAGTCCAAATAAGCAAGGGTCTAAAAGTTCATTGTATCACCTACCATTTGTTCTAGTTGGTTGGTTCTCTTACCTCTTGTGTCTTTCAATTGTTATTAGAATAATCATTTTCAAATATTACTGATGGTTCAGGTGGTTTTTTGAACAGAAAGAATAACATGGTAGATGCATTATTGGGGCTAATTACTGGGCATAAAAGTAGATGCAGTATATGGACCACTACATCAAAACCACAAATTAATTTGCCCCTCCTCTTCAAGGTAGATGATTTAGTCTATATTGTTCAGTTTTTGCATGAAAATTGTGCCGCAAAGTGGACAAAGATATGACACGTAACTTTATCATGTCATAATCTTTGACTATAATAAATCATGTAACAGTTATGAATGTTTATGTATAAGCGAGAAAGAGTAATGTTTTCACATTGCACACAAATTAGTTAATACCTAAGCCTTCATTTCTGGTTAATTAACCTCCAAATCTTCAATAATGTGGCTGACAATTTTTCACTGCTATTATTGAGATATCAAGTTTGACAAGAGAAAAAACTAGGCACGTCTGAGGTGCAGGATGTTAAAAGTTGCCAAACTGATATTTGGTTGCATTTTTTATTGATAAATAGTTAGTGCTCTTAAAAGAGGGAATTCCATGGGAGTGTACACGTGTCGGACAATGTTACAGGTTATCCTGTATATAAATAGAAGCTGGCAAAGCTTGTTGAAGCACACATTGTCCTACTCATACCGCACAAAAGGCAAAGCTAGTTTTCCCAAGACTTTAGCAAACGCCTCTACACCTAAAAATGGTTTCATTTTCTGATCATGAGTTGGTTTTGATCTTTGGTCTCCTAGGTATTAATTTGACTCATAGTACAACTCTCGTTCAACTATATGACTACACCATATTCAACTTTGATGTCACCATGAAAGTATTTATATTTAGTTAGTCTTTTATTCCAAGGGGCCTAGCAAAAAGGATAGCTAGCCATCTTTGTTTTTGTAACTTTTTTTCATGCTACACAATCTCATCAAGGTTTTCAATTTTCATCACACGATCATGAGTGTAGTAATGGATGTAATGTAATAACAGTAACTTACGAATTTACCTGCTGATTTTTCTTTTAAAAAAACATTCTATATTTGTCTTGATCCTTCACTGATGTTCTCTGTTTTCTTCCTGTCTTTAGGTAACATTGTGTCATTCTTGGTGTTCTTAGCACCCTTGTAAGTCCTGTTTGAAACAAAAATAGTATCATAATTTTCCATTACCACTTACACCTTGAAATACTGATTTTATTTTTATTTTATCATATTTCTGTCTCTCACAGGCCAACCTTCTATACAATTTTGAAGAACAAAACATCTGATGGGTTTCAATCAATTCCATACGTTGTTGCACTTCTTAGTGCACTGTTGCTTCTGTATTATGGCTTCATAAAGAGCAATGCTATTTTGATTGTCACCATCAACTGTATTGGATGTGCTATAGAAGTTTCATACCTAGCAATATACGTTATATATGCTTCCAAGAAGCAGAAGGTGAAACCAAGATGACAATCTTTCATTTTCTACACTTTTTCATTTTGTTCTATCTAGATTACCATATTTAAAATATTATAAAATTCTTCATTTTCAAATCCGCTTTATTGCTTTTAAGAGTGTTCGGAGGTATAATTTGGTAAGCTTATTTCCTAAAAAATGTTTCGATGGATATTGCAGATTTCCACTTTGGTATTGATACTCATTGCTGACGTTGGAGGTTTTGGCTTAACCATGTTAATCACCACCTTTGCTGTGAAGGGGATTAACCGTGTTCATGCTGTGGGATGGATTTGTGCCATTTTTAACATTGCAGTGTTCGCTGCTCCCTTAAGCATAATGGTACATCCTTTATTCAATTATTCACATAATAAAGATGTTGCAGAGTTTGAAATGCATCTAAAAATATGTAAAATGTCTCGATTAATTGCAGAGGAAGGTCATAAAAACCAGAAGTGTAGAGTACATGCCATTTTCGTTGTCCTTGTTTCTTACCCTCTGCGCCACCATGTGGTTTTTCTATGGGCTATTTGACAAGGATGACTTCATTATGGTGAGGAATTACATTTCTCTATCTATTACTCATCCTACTAATTTTCTCTTGAAAGAAAACTGATGAATCTGTTATTTTGGGGCCTCATCAGCTGCCAAATGTGCTAGGATTTCTCTTTGGCATCTCTCAGATGATCTTATACATGATATACAAGAATTCTGGGAAGAATAAGAAAACCAATTGTACAGAGAAGCAAGAAAGTGAGGGCACAGTGAACACAAAACAGCACAGCTGCGATGACCATAAACTTGATTTCCCTTCAATGGTTGAAATGAAAGAGAATCAACTCAATCAAGTTTGAAGTTATGTTGATATGTAACGTCTAGCGTTGATGGAGGACTATATAGGCTTAGAATGAATGCTGAATAACTAATGTATCCTATCTACTTACACTGTTGTAATAACAACTGCTGCCACGTGGCATGCAATGACTATGTAATAGGCTCATGATTATAGTTCTGGTTGAAGTATATGGTCTAGTTCTGATTGAAATCCTAAAAGTTCTATCTCTACATGTTTAAAGCAACACTAAAGGCTCAGTTGATGATAGTTCATTCTCTATATGACTTGATTGGGAGCAATAATTTGAAGTAAGTAACATTTTTCTCACCCATGACATTCAAAAAACAGATTATCCCTTTCTATTAAGCAAAACCAAAACAGACAATTGGAGAGAAGTATAAATTTGACAATGATTGCAGAAAATATTTGTCCAAACTACAGTAGCTTACTTAAGGTATAGTATATTCTTAATTAATATATTCCAGATCTATTCATTGGAAATCTATGAGGGCACAACAGTCCTACTAATGTAGATTCCCGACAGAGTTGGCCAGTGAAAGTAAGTTATTGGTGAGAAATTTCCAATTTCCACCTTTGACCCGATCGATGTTGATGATTCCAAGATCCTTTTATAATATTATTAAGATTATACCAGGATTATAATTAACTATCAAGGTCAAGCAACAAGGGAAGCAATCGCAATAATAAAGGCTTCAATGCTCTTGGATGAAACTTTCTTGTAAAAAGGAAGCACATGTTGGTCGGGTAGCCATCATAAACACATGCTGAACCTAAACGAATGTGGTTCAAAAACTCATCTGTAATATCTTTCGTCCAAATGTTATTGGATGAGAGCCAGGCCTTGAACAATCCACCCAAGTGAGGATACGATTGGAGCTTAATTAAGGGTACATTATATGCACAAAAGTTGGTGTATAATGCTCCATGGTGTAGAGCAGTTGTGCCGAACTATAGGGTGGTATTTGGTATCAGAAACAATGTGAATGGCAAGCTCATGATGGACTTCAAATCATTGAGACCCTTTTCTCCAATCGATTATATTAATCATGGGCCACATCTTGGGGTTGTTTCTTCCTCTGCCATCTCTTCCTGGCTCATTACAGGAGCCTCAGAAGCTCTTGCTTGAGGTCATGATATATAGTCATATATAATGGTTCTGAAGCCTAACAAAGGGATGCAGAATTCTGAAAGCAGCACAATGTTGCTCTGCCCTAGTCCACTGGCTGTCATTGACAATGGAGCAATTCCAATATAAACACAATGACCACGAGCACAACTAATCAAACCTCATGATGCATTAAAGTAATAAGAGAGTCTGCATAAAAAACTGTGCTAAAACTATTTTGATATTAGCTTGAGGTTTTAATTAATACATCTATTTCTATGCAATTTAAATGTAAAAATTATAGTAAGTAGGACTTTTAAGTGTTTACTTTAGAAAGTCCATTAATTCATTCATAGTACTGATTTGTGATTTAATAACCAAAATTGCACATTCACAATTCACACAAATTATAGGATCAGATTTCAACATTTTTTATTTATTTATTATGATTTAATAAAAGTTTACAAAACTGTTATAATCACAACTGAAATGGTAATGTAAAGGTTTTCTTTATTAATTTCAGTCGTATCAGCTGTATTTATCTGCAATCTTCTGTGATGTACTGCAGTTTACAACAATGATTGTGACTGACTGTAGGCACTTTATTCATGTTGCATGAAGAGAAATGAAAATAAGCAATAGCAAGCTAACCTGGCCATAGGAACATTTCTTCCATAGAATACAGAATCTTCAGACACGGTTCCATTGAAAGAAGAATGTTGATGAAGGTAAATGGAGTCAAAGTGCCTTTGAAGAATTTCTCCCGAAAGGGTGCCAAGGGTGGTGTACCTATAGCCAAGAACATGAAAGCCACTTTTGGAACGGCTTGCTTACTAAAATCTTGAATTCCTGAAACCATGGATGCTTTCAGAAACTACTCCTGGTCGGTCATGTTGTGCATGAGAGTGCCCTTCAGTGATGGTGGTGAACTTTGCGTCATGTATTGCACTTTTCAACTCCTCCTGTTTAGTTAAGAGCATTAAGTTTGAGTACAGTAAGTGTCAAAGCTCAATTTCTTATTGCACTTCCCATCGCTTTCCTTAGTTAGTCATTATATATGAATAATTATTCAATAATATTTTAAGAGAAATGTATTAAATCAGAAAATAATAATCATTAAATAGATATACAGTATTTTGTAAGAATCAACTATGTGACACACTCTTTTGAATATTACATTACTTTTTATTGTTTAAAATTAAATTCGGAATCATTTTTTTAATAGGTTTTATATATCTTATTTAATAAATTTATGCTATTGTTTCCTCCAATGGACTCGTGATACAAATATTTAATGATATAAAGTGATGACATGATATATGAAAATGGGAAAATCATCTGGCAAAATAATAAAAAAGTGAAATCAAAACCTCTCCCTCTTTTTTATTTTTAATAAAAACCTCTCAAATTAATAGATTCTTTAATATGTAAATAAATATATAATATATACTTTCAATAAAATAAAATTACACATATATTTACTATTATTAAATGAGTAATTTATATATATAGTATTAAAAATGCTACTTGTAAATTAATAACAATTATATTATTAGTAGGATTAGTATATTAATATTTTTTTCATAATATCTAAAAATTATATCATTATAATTATACTTAATATATATATATATATATATATATATATATATATATATATATATCCTACTATCAAATAAATAAATTTATGTGTATTATTAGTATTAATAATATCATTGACAAAATTAATACCAATAATATTAATGATATAATTAGTATATTTATAGACAAACCAATAATTTAATAAATATACATTATTATACTTCATTAATTTTACAAAAAATAAATATATTAGATACGAGTTAATTGAAAACATTTTATATAAATATTGAGAATTCTTAAATATTAATTTATTAATCATATTATTACTTATATATATATATATATATATATATATATATATATTCATTCTAAGTTAATTATTATTGTTAGAATTTAGAGGTGAGGATTCTAATCACATTTTAATATTTTATTCTTATACTTTTATCACGGCTAAGGAAGGAAGTGGTTCTGCATGATGTGAAGCATTGCGTAAACAATGTTTCAAGAAAAAGGCGCTTCAGTAGATTTGTCCTTTAGTTACTGTTTACGCAAAATTATGGTGCACGCCATGGTTCTGCTGCCAAACCTAATTATAAAATAAGGGTTTAACTAGAAATACTACATGGACATAATAGAAAACTAATAAGAATAAACTTGAAAAAACTTTCATTATTCAAAGATTTAGAAAAATTATAAGAACTAGTGGAGTAATTTAACAAGCAGCAAATAAACAAGTTGGATATACAAGATAAAAATAACAACCACTTCTAGAATAAATAATTAGTGTGAAGTGTCCTAAGGAACAAAAATTGTAAGAACAGCATTAGAATTAAGATCACATGCATCTGTGAAGTAGTATTTTAGGTTGCAGGGCTAAGTGCACGTTCTATTTCTTCCAAGGATCGACCTTTTGTTTCCACAACGTTACGAGCTATGTACAAGACAGTAACAAGACACACTGATGCGAAGCCCAAGTACACAGTGCTGATTCCAAACTTGTTTACTACACTCATGAAATACAGCCCAATCACAAAGTTGGAGATCTGGTAATATTAAACAAAAATGAAAAATTAGTGTTGTAAAAACAATGTATATATATTATGAATCCTGCCAACATGTTAGACATATTAAAACTTACTCAGACCTTTTATTACCCGAAATTTATCAATCTTATAGAATGGAATCCAGTAAAAATTGAAATTGATAATTTGGTATTGATAGTATTGCTACGCTTAATGTGTGATTCATCAGATTCTTTAAGAAGTAGCAATTCAGAGTTTCAAAAGATACAGCAAAATAAAGGCAGTAGTTCCAGAATATATTGGATTCCACAGTGGAGTCCCTTACCCAATGTGTGCCTAATGACAAAGAAATTGCTTTCGCCCTGATTCTAGATGCAAATATTTCTGGTAGAAGAAGGGCAGGCACCGGACCAGCACCCAGAGAGAAGGAAAAGACATAGCTGTTTAAAATTCATAGGCCAGAGAACTGTCAAATCAAAAGAGAAATGGAAAACAAATAATACAGGCTAGTAGCCTTTCAGTGTATGGAATTACTTTCATGACAAAATTAAACGACTTACAGGACAGTCCCAAGGACTGCTAAGGTGCCAGAATATGGTGCAAGGACCTTCCAAGTAAATGACACAGAAAGAAGCAACATAGAAGCACCCTGGGAAGGACAGAAAAACAATGAGTTTATGAAAATGAGTAGGTGATATTAATACACAAGAAACAAAGTTAAGCTGTTCAGATGAAAATATGTTATGATTAAACCAAACAGAAAGAAAAATAGAAAGGGATATCACATAATACACAAGGTCAGAGTCTTAATGCACCTTCCAATCCCAAGTAGTGGCCAGACAAGGGCAGAAATAAGTATTAACTCTTAATGCACCTCTAAGAAGTTTTTTATTCAAAACCAACAATTAGTGAAGATAACAAGCTTAACAGTAACTGATATTTATAATCAATCATCACACAAATACAAATTAAAGCTACAATTACAAATGTAATGATGGTTATCTTATAGTTGATGCACAATGCACGGAAGCTACAGAGGAAACAAGCATTTGAGACCTATAGAGTCCTAATAAAGAAAGCTCAAACCTTTTGCTTTCGGCCTAAGACATAAGTGAGTTGAAAGTAATTATTACCATCCCACTAAAGCTTGTAATAAGGAGACTTTTCCTTCCTTGTTTGTCCATCAAGGACGAAGCAACTATTGAGCCTGCAATGAAATCAAACAGCAGTCAGAAACATTATCATGTTTGTGCAAATTGCATATCAAATTTTTGGAATGATAGATACTGACCAAAAACATTTGATGCACCAACCAGTGCACTAGCTGCGACATCAGAAGAAATTCCAGCACTGCGGAAAACAGCAGTCGAATAATAGACCACAGCATTTATTCCAGACAACTGCTGGAGCAAGAAAAGTGTTGCCCCTACACTGACAACTGCAACAGGGAATATTTTATAAGTGATTCATTAAGCACTATTCAACTCCAGAACAAACTAGAAAGTTGACAGCAGATCAGCAAAACTATAACATAAACTGCAATGAAATAATTAAGATATATGGATATATCTCGTCAAAAAATATCAACGGAGAAGGAAAAGAAAAAATGCACTAACAAATTTGAAAGGTAAAAGAAAGTCTCTGGCTAAGTTTGAAACAAGAAAATTGACTTCCACAGTTCCATGAATATTCACATTGATTATTTATGGTATTTATGTTGGTCTTACTGTACACAAACAATCTCAAATTAACATAATTATGACCGAACCTTCAAAACCTGCTGGTTAGCACCAATAGTGACAAAATTAACTGATGAAATAGCAGTTCATTCCTATAGAAATTCCTCCTTAATACGGTAGAAACCTTAGCCCCAGTTAATCAAACCTGGAATTAAACTAAAGTTTGAAATACCTTTCCAATATCGATTACTAAACAGATCAGACCATCCTGCTTCTTGTTCAGAAGAACCTTCACTTGCTGTTGTCATGTCTTGCATAACCAAAGCCACTCTTTCTTTTCCATATAGTGTTTTAACAGCTTTTTCAGCTTCTAATATTTTTCCTTGCTATAAGGTAACAAATGTAATTTTATCAAAAAATATACAAAAAAGTTACGGCAATTTCACCAAACTATTAATGATATACTTCGCAAGAAGCCAGACATCGTCTGTGGCATTAAGAATATACTTGGCTATACCAACTGTACAATTTAACCCAATTAAAAAGCTTTGAGGATGCCCAATAGTGCCTTTAGAGATTTAAAACATTAACATAAGCTCATTTCTTTGAAAATGTTCGTAGTTAGTTTGAAAAGTTGTCAACATAGGAGCCTATAATCCAATGTATATAGATTTGAGAAAAGAATATATAACAGAAAGTGATTGATGTGACTAAAAGTAATAATCTTTTATAAGAAAAGAAACTTAGAGTAGCAATTCACTCCGCACGTTTTGCAAAATGTTGGTTTCCTTGTCCTGTAAATGTGTTGTTCTGTAATAAAAGACACCACCGTATTACAGTAGTAATTCACGCTGCTTGTTTTTGCAAAAGTTGATTTCCTTGTCTTGTAAATGTATTGTTCTGTAATAAAAAGACTGTAAAATATTGCAGGACAACCTGAAAAAGCCACCGAGGACTTTCTGGAGAAATAGTCATCCCAAGTGCTAACAGAATAGCTGGAACTACAGTAATTCCAAACATTGTCCGCCACCTGATAAAATTGAACGAGGGAGAAAAAAGTGCAAGTTAATGAAAATACATTTCGCAAGGCCGAGTACAGGAAACCAGTTCATAGTGCAAAACAAATTTCAGTGTTTTTACAACCTTTAGTACAAGTACATCAAATTAATAACTACAACAAACAAATGATTCCAGATCCCCCAAGTAAAAATCATGATAATCGAGAGAGATAATGGCCATTTATCAAGATTCTCTTGGAATACTAGTAACAAAAGGAATTACTCTGCAATATTATCTTCTAGGATAATATTTTCTTTTGCTTCTTCATTAATTTCTCATTCATAAAATATGCATGCTCTGTGGAAGATAACCTCAAGAAATAATAGCTGACAACGGACAAGATGATAAAATGAAAAAATTCAATGGTCAATACCATATAGGATTTCCCTCCAGAGGCAAACCAACCAAAAGTGCTGCAAGAATCCCAATGCATATAAAAAGTTGATTAACAGATCCAAGTGCACCCCGAATTTCGGTTGGAGAAATCTGTCCATTAGCAGGAATCACCAGGTGATCCATATACAATATGTACACATGATCACAAAGGCTAAAATCACTTATAAGGGTATCACCTCAGATATGTAAAGTGGTACAACTGCAGATGCTACACCAATTCCTATACCAGCTAGCAAGCGACCAATGATCATTGTTTGAACACTCTGAGCAGTAGCACTGTAAATGCAATATAACTTAACCCATCAATTTCAAAAATACGTAAAAGATCAAACCTTATACCCAACGGAAATTGACTGACCAAAGAAATCCTCCAATTGCTAGAGGGATTGCATCCAACTGAAAAGTCCTAGTCCGGCCAAATTTGTCAGCCAATGTTCCACCAGTAAATGAACCGACAGTAGCACCAGCAAGCAATGCACTGACAATCCATCCTGCTTATGGATTAGTTCTAATGAAAATTATGAGAAAATAATTGATGGAGCATATTCAAGTGAAATTTGAACTTTGAGGTACAAAGCTACAAACTTTTCACAGACAAAAACACTATTCATAAACGGGCAAAGCAATTAATAAATTCAATTAAACTTCATGCCATAAAACTGAAGTTTTCCCATGCTACATATAAAAGCAAAACTAAAAAGTACAAAAATCATGTTTGAATATACGCTGAAAATATGCCTTACAAATAAAAATTAACCAGATAAATAACAAGAAAGAGTATATGCTTTAACATCTATAGTTTATTTTTCTGATAAAATCAACCAAACAATGGAAACTAATTTGCAACTTCAATTAACGAATAAAAAGATGTACCTTGGATAACAGTGTTTTGGATGATTCCAAGATCCTTGGCAAGGTACTCAAGAGAACCATTTACCACCCTATACCAAAAAGGGTATTGTCAAAGTTTCCTACCTAAGAATAATAACCAATGACAATATTTATATCAAACGAAAATGAAATTCATACCCAAGATGATAACCAAATAACATGGCTCCAAGGCAAGCAACGCCAACATATGGCAGAACAGTTCCAGAAGGTTTGCCAGAAATACTATTGGGGAGAAGATCCTCAACATCTTCATCTGCAACGCAATTTTAATGAGTAACATTCGAGTAACATAAGCACATTCATAATATTCACATTATGGATGTGATATTATTAAGAACCATAAACAATTGACAAAATAAAATGCAGTTGTAAAGGATAATGCCATAAAAGAACAAAACTTTAGATGTTTCTTGTGTTATTATCTAATTAGAATTGGAATTTCACATGATAATCCACATAATAAGGTTTGTTTCAAAAGTCAAAGTAGATTACTAAGGTTAAACTTCAATTCTAAAATGACGCATGCTACTAATGGAAAACTCTGATTCTGAACGCAGAACAACAACAACAAGAACAAAAACGCCTATGCATCAAAGTATTGTCCAACAATAAACTCTAACTGACGAAATTCCAAAACATTTGCATGGAAATTCGTGTTAGTGTATTATACAAGTCAACAAATCGATCACAATGAGAAGAAGGTATGCATAAAAAAAAGAGATCCTGAGAATCGATATCAAGATGAAAAGGTATCAACAACAGCAGAGAAACAAACCAGAAGGCTGAACCCTGAGTGATCTAGGCTTAGGAGAGGAGCCAAAAATGCCACCAAAAGTATTTCCTCTGGTAGACAACTCGGTTTCCATGTTGAAGGAAGCGGGCCTCAAACCACACCACCAGCTGCTTCCACTACTCATGCTCATGCACACTCTTCTTGCTCTCTCTTCCGAATCCACCAAAACTCACAAACACCCTTTGCTTCTGAACCCAAAAAGCGGTTCCTTTACACATTATCTGATTGAGAACTCCAAACCCAGAAAAAGTCAAAACACGTACACTAGCACGAACCAAACCAGGAAGCGAATCTAGGACACTCCAAATCCAATTGCCTCTGTGTCAGGACATTACCTAACAATTAAGGAAAATATGATACTCGACTTGTTACTCGTTGAAAATAATATTTGTGAAAATTATTTCAGAAATATATAATAAAAAATATAAAATCATTGCAGGGAAAATTAAACTCAAATCAAATATTTTATATTAGAAAAATAAAAGTCAAATGTAGAAAATAAAGTTCTTTCACTCGATCAAGGAACGGAAGCATAGAAAAAAAGTAGCACGCCGCCACTTGTAAGAAAAGTAAGAAAATTTTTGGTGTAAGATATTTTTTAGAATGATATAATACAAATATATATGATGGTTATGTTTTTCGTTTTACATCGCTTAAAATTTATTTATAAAATATATAATTATAATTACATGTTAAAAAATACTCAAGAAAAAAAAATCAGATTGTCTCATTATTTATTGTGTTATATACTCTTGAAAATAAAAAATAAAATAAAATTAGGTTTGATTAATAATAATTGTATATATGACTTCTTAAATAGTTATATAAAAAGTAACCACCTTATTATACATGTTAATTTAGGATTGACCAACAATAGATTTTATTGCTAATATATTATACTTAAATTCAAAAGATTTTATTTTATTTTTATTTTTAAAGTATTTTTAAAAAAATTCTTGTATAATTTCTCTTTTAATCTCTTGGTAATTTTCATTTAGTGTATATTTTTAACCTTTTATTTCTCTAATTATCTCAAATTTTTATTGACTTCCTTTAAAAAAAAATTCATCCCTACTTTCTGAGCCATATAAATAAATATTTTACGAAGGAAGTGTAATTAAATAATAAAGTAAACATAAAATTATAACCTAACAAATGAAACTGGTAAATCAAATTAGAGTTTTTTAATCTTTAAAAAATAAATTTTATTTAAATTAAAATTGGTTTCCTAAAATTTATCTTCTGCAAATTGTAGAGTTCCGGAAAAATAGAAAACTACTATTTGTGATAGATAAGTAACTGAGTCTCAGTCTGAGCTTATAAATAAGGTTGAATATTAAAATGTTGAATTAATATATATAGAATTATTAACATTAGGTTGGCCTAAAATTTAAGAGTATACAGGACTGACATAAGAAAGAAACCAACTACAACAAAATTTAAAAGATGCCTCATTCAACTAGATTTTCTTCATTCATAATAATTTTTTACGTTGTTTCTAATCCCAAAAGTAATATCTAAATCATTTTATCCATTATTCAAAATTATTATATAAAGAACAATAAAAATTTATTAGAAACAACAAAATTTTAAAATGATTAGAAATCAACAAAAATGTATTAATTTATAAAAGTAAAAAAAAAAACCAAATCATATGTAAGTTTATAGATCTACATATACAAAGTTCATATACTTGTATGTATAGAATAGTGTATAGAATAGTTTTGGAAGGATTACATGTAAATCTCGTTTGCTCTTTATGATATTTAGAGTTAGAATCTTATAAGAAATTAGTGAAAAAATGAATTAGAAAGTGATGAAAAATTTTAAAGTTGGGCGGAATTTTAGAAACGTCGATATCTCGAATTATAAAACTTCGATTAAAATGATTAAAAAATGAGGTGAAATTTTTCGTTCTAAATTTCAATTTGGGCTAAAAAATTACACTCAATTTGGATGATAAATTTGGACATAATTGAGTTTTTTTAGTTTTGGTGAAGAAAGAATAAGAGATAAATGTGAAAGATCTAAGGAAAGAATCATTATTCTCAAGGGAGACAACTCACAAAAGATGTGAAAGTTCATTGATATAGTGAAGGGTTCTTGAATCACTAAAAAACTTAAGAAAATCAGTCTCACTAAAATAAAAAAGTTAAACTCTAATATTTTTAAATAAAACTCAACTTGTTTTCTTGATAAAAATGGTTCAAACTTATATAGAAGTTTTGTCATCAGAACTAAAAAATATTCAATAAAGAAAAATAAATATTAATAATGATCCATTAACTTAGAAATGAAAATTACTTAATGACTAATTGTAACTGAAATTGTGGTAACCAAAAGTCACTCACAAGCAATCAATTATGTATCATCTTGGTCTCTCAAAGGTTGATGCTTAAGTTTCCAATTGGGTCCTTATTACTACTTAAAATAAAGTCAAACTAAAGTTCATTAATTGATTAACCCAAAACATAATTTGGTCAGCAAATTATACAAAGGATTGAACCAATATTTAAACAAACTAATCACTTAAAAATGAAACAAAGTGATTCGTTAGTCCTCCTCCATTTGGGCATGATGTAATTCACAACTTTGGTCTTTTATCCTTGAAATATAGACTTATATTCAAATAATATGGACAACATTTGTTGAAGAGTTTCCTTTGTTTTCCTTCTTCTAGCCCTTGTCATAAGTCCTCCAAGTCCTTCAAGTGGATCGTTGCCCTTGCTCATTGTCATGTCCCTATCATTCTCTCTCTTTTGAGAAGGATTTGTCCTCAAATCAGATTCATCATCTACATAAAAAAGAGTTAAGTCAAACACATTAAATGTGGAACTAACATTATACTCACTGGGCAACTCAATTTTGTAAGTATTGTCATTTATTCTTTTAAGCACTTAGAATGGACCATTCCTCCTTAGTTGAAACCTTGATTTCCTTTGTTCTGAAAACCTTTTCTTTCTCATGTATACTCAAACCCAATCTCCGACTTGGAAGACAACCTTCTTTCTCCCTTTGTTGGCTTGCTTAGCATAGCCTTCATTTCTTTTCTCAATTTGATTTTTGACTCTTTCATGAAGTTTCTTCACATAATCCACCTTAGCTTGACCTTCTTTATGCTTAAAAACTAAAACATTAGACATAGGCAAAAGATCAAGAGGAGCTTGTGGGTTAAAACCATAAACAAACTCAAAAGAAGAACAATTAGTAGTGGTATGAACAACTATATTGTAAGCAAACTCAACATGGGGTAAACAAACTTCCTAATTCTTTAAGTTCTTCCTCAAAAATTGTCCTAAGCAAAGTTCCCAATGTCCTATTAACAACTTTTGTTTGTCCATCAGCTTGTGGGTGACAAGTGGTTGAAAATAACAATTTAGTTCCCAACTTACCCACAAGGTCCTCCAAAAATGGCTTAGGAGCTTAGAGTTCTTATCACTGACAATGCTCCTTGGCAAACCATGGAGTCTCACGATCTCCTTGAAAAACAAATCAACTACATGAGAAACATCATTCCCTTTTTTATTTGGAATAAAATAAGTCATTTTAGAAAACCTATCAACAACTACAAAAATTGAATCTTTGCCACTACTTGTTTTTGGCAACCCCAAAACAAAATCCATGGATAAATCAATCCAAGGATACTCCGGAATTGGCAATGGAGTATAAATCCATGAGGTTTAACTTTTGACTTTTGCCTTTTTACAAACAATGCAATGTTCACAAAATTTTTGTACATCCATTTTCAAATGAGGCCAATAAAAATGTTCTTGTAATGTTTCTAGAGTCTGTTGGACCCCAAAATGTACCATTAAACTTTTTTCATGTGTTTCACTAACAAACAAGTTTTTTGTAGAATATTTAGGCACACACAATTTGTTTTCTTTGAAAAAAAAAGTCTTCATGTCTAAAGAAACCATTTTCTGAAATTTTTTCACAATTTTTTAAAATTTCACCAAAAGTTTCATCATTTTCATACATGTTTTTCAAACATTCAAGACCAATCAATTTTGTTTCAAGCCTAGAAAGTAAAGCATGATGTCGAGAAAGAGCATCAGCTACAATGTTACCTTGTCCCCTTCTATGTTTGATAACATAGAGGAATTGCTCTGGAAATTTCACCCACTAGGCATACCTTTTATTCAGCTTACCTTGTCCCTTGAGATACTTGAGGGATTCATGGTCACTATAAATGACAAATTCATTGGGATAAAGGTAGTGTTTCCATGTTTTCAAAGCCCTCATTAAAGCATACAACTCCTTATCATAAGTTGAATAGTTAGAGGTAGGACCACTTAAATTTTCACTAAAATAAGCAATTGGATTACCCTCTTGCAACAATGCAGTCTCAATCCCAACATTTGAAGTATCACACTCAAATTCAAAAGATTTTTGAAAGTTTGGCAAAGTAAGTATAGGGGCATTAGTTAACTTTTGCTTAAAAACATTAAAAGCTTCTTCTTGTTTCTCTCCCCATTTGAAACCAACATTAAAAGTCATGAAAACTTCTTACTTCGGTCATAAACTTAGGTGTAAGTCATTCTTGAATAGCCCTAACATTTTTCTCATCCTCTTGTATTCCTTTTGAACTCACAACAAAACGAAGAAACACAATATGGTTAGTACAAAAGATTCATTTGTAAATATTGACATGCAATTTTTCTTCTCTAAACACACACAAGACAAATTTTAAATGATCAACATGCAAATCAAGTGAAGTGTTATAGATCAGAATATCATCAAAGTACACCATAACAAATTTTCTTATGAATTCTCTTAATACATGGTTCATTAATTTCATGAAAATGTTAAGAGCGTTAGTTAAGCCAAAAGGCATAACCACCAATACATACAAACCATATTTTGTTTTGAAAGAAGTTTTCCATTCATCCTCTTCTCTAATCCTAATTTGATTATATCCACTTTTTAAATCAATCTTAGAGAAGTAACATGCACCATGCAATTCATCAAGCCTAGGTATAGGATGCCTATATTTAATGGTGATGTTATTAAGGGTTCTACAATCGTAACACATGCGTTAGGTCCCATCCTTTTTAGGAACCAAAATTTCCAGGACAGCACAATGACTCATGTTATCTCTTACCTAACCTTTGCTAATGAGTTCATCCA